CTAAAAAGTCTTTTCTTTCCCCGTCGCTTCATCCAATTCTTATTTTTATCCTTTGCTAGTGCATGCAACAAAATAAACCAAAAGCAAATTCCTATGCAAGATCCCCAACAACCCAACAGCGTCATCGACAGCTCGCAGTTCAAAAACGTTGAGTGAAGTTTAGTGAAAAGTTTAGTCACGTTTTGCCAGTCTGGTTAAACTTCGCTCAACTTCACTAAACAAAAGTTGGGTGAAATGTTTAGTGAAATGTTTAGTCGTTTTGCATGGGCTTAAGACTCGATGTTTTGACCAGACCAAAAACAGCAAACAGTGACGCTCCTGCTTGTGCAAAAAGAGTTCTAGATGAGGTGTTATCATAGCCTATATCGATCAGTAAAACAGGCAGAAATTCGCAGAACCAGCAAGACCTAGATTCACACTCCAAAATAATTAGGGCCTTCCCTATCAGTACATATTTCACTGGCTCCTAAAAAGCTAAGGCTTAATGAGGAGAATACAGCGACTCAGTCTCTGCTAAAGCAAAACCACCGTTTACAGGGATTATGAGACTAGTTCTTCTGCTTCAGACACTCATTTATAAACCAATTGTGTATATTAGATCAATTATGAATTCTCATACAGGATAAAGATGAAGATGAATTGTAAACTCAATTTCAAATTATACAAGCTCATTTGTTAATAATCCTATTGCAGCTATCAAAACCATTTTGGTTAAGAAAATCTCAAGATGTGAATGGGAATTAATTTAGTGTTTTGACGCCATTTTGTTTAGTGTCGAGTTATCAAAGCACACCCATGAGCTACGTGCTATCGTACCAAGAATATGGTGAATTTTTGCCACGCGAGATTTTCGACATCAGAAATTTTTAAGGGTTTCCGTTAACAATCCATGGTTGGTGTAGATGTATTTTGAAACGAAAGTAATCAGTCTCTCTCCCAATGTCGGAGATGAAAGGATTGCAAGGAACAACATCAGTTTACAGGAGATGGGTCTTGTACCTGTGATGTTCACATAGACTATTCCAAAGGCAATAAGCTGCGGGGCAAACCTTTTTTATTTCAAGACAAGGACAATAGCCTATTGTTTACAATGGATACTAACTGGGGCTGTAGGATTAATCGCCCCTAGTCAGTGTGTTACAAAAGGCCCTGTATGTTCAGGGCACTCAGGACCATAGTGCCTCACGGAGGGATAAAGTATCGGGATAAAGTATTTTCAAATAATTGGAAGAACTTTATTGCTACTTGGCATCCGTTCCTTTCTGAAAGAGTTACTTAATAAATAGCAGAAATAGGCGTCCAGAATTATTATAATTAGTTTTAGAAATAGACTACTCTTATGTCCTTTTCCTACGCAAAAGTCACATCTTTTTTAGGCCTCCCCTTCAATTTCTTTCAGTCTTTTATGTTATATGTTTAGTAATCATCGACGTTTTTACGCGACATTATAAACACTATTTTAAGATTCTTTACCAGGCTCTGAAAAGTGCAAACGTTTTTAAATCCAAATTGTATTGCATTAAGTATTAATCGGTTGCAAAAGGGCTCTGAATTATACAACAAATTAATACTAGGGACAACACTGTCTAGAACCAGTTTCGTATGAAAGATTTGGGTATCCTTTTTGTTTATTATTGGCCTATCACTTTGTCAGTTGATCGTCTATTGAGCTTCTCGCAAATAGCACTTAATTCCCTTATAATTCTTGCTCTGTCTGGAACACATTTTGAAAAAAGACCGACAAGGCAACGTATTTATTGTAGGTGTTCTGCTTTTTTTGGACCATCAGTACATCACTCACAATGATCTCACTCATGATGCTGATCATAATCATGATGAGCACTATCAACATAATCATAATGATCGTTGGTATCAAAATCGTTCCTTGCTTATTTACTGTATATGTATAAGTTGTATTTTGTGTGTATGAATGTACTATAATGTAGTATGTATATATGTAGTGTTATGATTTCATTATTAGTAATATTTAGTTACATGTCATATCCCAGGGGACAGTCATGATATATTGCTCCTCCTGGGTAATGTAGTTTAATAGTTCGTACGTACTGTGTTAGGTTATTTGTTATTGTAAGTTTTTATACCGAATAGAAAAAAATCCAAGCTTGCTGATTATCATTCATTTATGCTTATCATCAATTTCCAGTTTGCTCCTCTTTTTATTTTCCACTAAATCTTTCGCAGAGAAGTCACAACATTGTATTTTGAGTTCAGCATCTCTTAAAATGTGCTTGATATGTTGAAAGGAAGGGACGAGATACAATGGCGGCGCCAGCCACTAAGCTCTGGGGGGGGGGACAAACCAAACAAATTCAAGCCACGCCCTTTTAATCACCAGTAAACGCCCTTTTACCAACAGGGAACACCAATTTTATCCGAAGTGAACGCCTATGACTAACTTTTGTTTGAAAATTGGCAGTTTGAAAATCATAGGATTACATCACAAAAAGCACGGTGTCAAAATATTACCCCTCCCCCAACATTTTCTCATCGAATTTGGATGAAATATTAACGGTTCTGCTGAGAACTGGGGGCGGGGACACTGGGGGACTGCAAATGCTCGCAGCTCCATCGAAACATAAGACCAGAAAGCCTTTGGGATAAGTTTCAGCAAAGATCCTCGCAATCAAACTATGCAACAAGATACTGTGGGAATCTGAATATCCCCACATTACCTTGAATAAATACAGAGTATGTGAAAAAATGTTTGAACTACTCTGCTCTTAAAGCCTGGAACGACGATATTAAGCCTGATATTAGAGAACTCCCGACTATTTGTCACTTTAAAAAAAAAAACTAAAGGAGTACTTGAAGAGCTGACAGATTTGTCTATTTAAACACGACTCCCTGGAAGAACAGCATTTTAGATTGAAATTATATCTTTTTTAATTGAACAAATGTATTCATAATTAATATTGTATTAGGGTAGCTGAAGGATTGAGTCGCGTAAAAAGAAATATTATTATTATTATTTTATCATGATTATTATAATTATTATTATAAGACATATTTTCCAACCTGGGCAGAGTAGAAAAAAGGGTGCGCTCAAAGAAGTTGTCACAACCTTATAAACTGTAAAGGAGTCCTTGAGAAGTTGTCCTCAGTTTTGAGCAGACTGGGAAACGAATTATTTAATATGTGGCCGGATAAATGGCATAACTTGACCTTCCATAGTAAAATTAGGAGGAGGGTCATCGATAGTAAAATTTATCGACTTAGAATTAGGCTAGGAAAAAATTAGGCGCAATTTCATCTACCGATAGAGGATTTTACCAAGAAACTGAGTTTTTGTGGCTCTGCTGAAGGTTTACCTGTCAACTCACGAAATCTTGGGCGTCACCCCCCCCCCCTAAACTATCTACGATAGATACGCCTCTGGGATGGACTGTCCACACGTGGGGTCTATCGCAGGGGGTTCAAAAGCTGAAAAACCGTGCAAAAATCAGCCAAAATCCGCAATCCGCAATGAATAAAGGCGGAAAGACGCGGCCGCAAGCTGTTGCACTGGTCCAAATCTGATCCAACATCAATTGATAACATACTTTGTAAAAACGCACCTACATCCTGAAAACCGTAAACTGTTGCCAATTTGCACCGAAAGACGCATGGCGCGTAACGGAGCAGGGTGGGGTCCCTTGCTGAAGCTGAAAGTAGTGTTTTTGGGCTCCTATACTCAACTAAACTTGAATCATGTTTTAGATCCTACGTACTCATGCTTTTGTGTTTTCTGAAAAACCTAAAGAAATAACATGATACAGCAAAATGTGAAAATTTGGCTGCCAAAGATATTTCTCATGATCTTCATCTAAGCTTTCCATGATTCCATGCAGCGTATACAGTTACGGCTTGAACGGGCATAAAAGTATTTTTAAAAAAAGTATTCTTGTGCCGTTTTATCTTTCCCAGCAAGTTGCGGCCAGTACTATCAACACCGTTGATCCAGCCTTGCTGGCTTTCGTAATTATGCTAGGAGCGATTTGCAAACAGCCAGCAAACCTCAAAGTAAGGTTTTTTTAATTCCATCGAATAAAAAGCCATAGCCTTTTAACTGAAATATTTCTGTTGTGTTTATCATAATACCTAGCACTAAAATTTAAATTTGTAGAGAAAAGTTCCAATTTTTCTTTGTGTACTCGAATAAACCATCTGGTCGACATGGCCCATGAAGTAACATCAATTTCTTGAGATTAGCATCAAGCACATCTTCACAAAAAGGACCACGATCAGTTGAATAAGACTTTGAAAGATCAAGCTGTTGTGACTTTACTTAAATTAAAGGGTAAATCGCACTCTTGTTGTTCTTTTCAGGAGTTTCAGAGATTCATCAAAGACAGGGCTCATTGTCTTCGGCCTTCTCTCCCTGTGGAGGGAGACTTGAGCTTGGAAGATCTTGGTCTTTGCTTTTCAAAAAGTAGCGAAATTGAGCCTTATACCAGATTCATAAACAAAGATATTGAAAGAAATTGTGAAATGAAAGAAGATAAGCATTTTTGAACTGCGTCATTGAAGAGATCAATTAGATTTAAGATATTTGTGACATCCTCGTATATTAAATACAAAACTTTATCAAGATATAGATCCACAAGGAAAACCTATATCTTACATCATCATTTGGTTACTCACAAATCAAATCGAGTCTTAAGCACATTCCAAGGATGCTCTGAATGCTATTAAGAAACACACATTTTTATCTAAAAATCCGTTTTTCCGAGAAACTTCTTTGGGGCCCCGTCGGGGCACAAATGCTTGGGGCCCTTAGTTTTGTGGTTAACGGTGCACACTGTGCGTCACGCCACTGAAGATGCACCTTATGCTGAAGTCGCAGAAAATCCATTGCCAAATCCCTAGGTCGCACGTATAATAAGGGGTCGAGGCCGTGAATTCGCAAACCTATAATAGGTCCCCCATACGGTTGTGTTTTTGGAGAGGACAAAATGGTTCGCGTGAATAAATATTTCGGCATCCTTACTCACCCCAGGCCTCTTCCCAACTAGTTAAAAAGTTGGCGCGTGATCAAGCGGCAGCATGGCCATATACCAGATGAAAACTGGCAGCATGGCGGCAAAACTAATTCTTGAAGATGGGACAGTCTTTCATGGAAAGTCATTTGGATCAAGTCAGAGCAAATCTGGTGAAGTTGGTGAGTAGCATTAGTAACCTATTTTAGTTTTTTTATCAGCCCCTGGGAAGTATTTTGTCATTGGTTTCTAAACTGGCTAGGCCCATTCAGCATCACCACCGTCAGTCTCCGTAAGTGCCTCTGTATAGGGTTGTTTATTCTTTGGCTTCTGTTTGATTTCTTTCTTGTTGACTCTACTGAAGCTAAGATTGTTAGAACGTTATGCATGCTTGGACTCAAATCGCCTCAGTCATATGTTATATTATTTTTTGCCAATCAATATTTTGTTACAGCCTGTATGTAACACAAACATGTTTTGGAAACTTTGTTTTATAAACTGATCAATAATGGGGTAAATGTGCTGTACACTCTTTTCTTTTGATAAGAACAATTTTATAAGAACATGAGCCTCGAAATTGGTCAAAAATTAAGAACAAATTAAGAACAAGCTGAGGCTGAGCTTCTGCAAATTTCAATTTTGAACAACGTTATATCTCAAAAACGAAGATTTTTAGCCATGTGTGGATGTTTTTTCGGTGTATATTCAAGCTTTTCATTATTATCAAGTTCAGTTTCATTATTTAAAATTCCACACATACAATACAATGCAATAAATTACAATAAAATTGATATAATTAAAGAATAAAGAAGAGAGAAATTAGATAGAAAATAAATTAAACATATTGAATTGTAAGTGTGAAATTTCTTAAGGAGGAACTCTCTAAGTAGGTAGACTAATGAGAAGAGAGCCCCCCTATCGGATCTATAAATGAAGGCTGTCTCGCTCACTTTGTTGGCAAAAAAGGCCTAAACGCCTCCCTAGAGGAAAAAAGCTAGCAATCACACTGCTTACACCCTATTAATTTAATAAGAAAGTAAGAACAATCCAGCCCCAGATTTTCGTAAAATATTAAGAACAGTCTGCCTGAACTTAAATTTACTGGTTAATAATAAAAGAATGCAACTACCTGTAAAATATAAATGTCTTAGGGAGAAAACATGTTCTTTGAAATCTGGAAATGCTAATGAATTAGGATTTTTAGCATTCATTATAACAAACTTAACTAGTGCTGGTTAGCATCAGAACGATCTGATTGTCACAAGTTTGATCGTTTCTGCTAGTGGTTTGGCAAGTTCTAGTTTAAGAGCAAGTAATAGGTTTAAATATTAAGAAAAATGAAAGAATTGTTTGTGAAAAACAAGTTTAAACTTGATTTGCACTTCTTTTCAGTTTTCCAGACTGGAATGGTTGGTTACCCAGAATCTCTTACTGACCCATCATACAATGGACAGATTCTTGTTCTTACATATCCCTTAATTGGAAATTATGGAGTGCCAGATAAGTCGAGAGACAGTGAGGGAATTCTTAAGAATTTCGAATCCGAAAAGATCTGGACCCAAGGCCTAGTCATTGGTGATTTAACAGAAGAGCATAGTCACTGGGCTGCAAAATTGTCACTTTCGAAATGGCTTGAAAATGAAGGCATTCCTGGTATTTATGGTGAGTCTACCTTTCATTTAGAGTACAAATCAGTGCAATATTTTCTTGAAATGTAATTCTAATAGACTAATAAATATATATATAGTTTACACCTTATGATAAAAGGATAAAAACAAATGATAACTCAGTAGATTTGAGAAGCTATTCATTCTCAGCCAGAAAATACACCATGTGTTAAACAACTTTCCTACTTTTCTGCTAAGGAATTAAAGTTATTGGATGCTGATGGTTGTTTTGTCGTTATGATGATTATACATTACTTGCTAGATTGAATCATAGATTTAACTCTTGCTTATTATTCTTCATTCTGATGATTGTTCAGGTTATTGAACGATAAAGTTTTTTGTAAACTCTAGGCATAGATACAAGAGCACTTACAAAAAAGCTGAGAGAGAAGGGAACAATGCTTGGAAAGGTATACCTATAGTTTCCAGTATTACTCAATAACCTTTAAATAGACTTTATTTAGAAACACATTCTTCCTATTTCGAAGTTTTAATCTTTTTTCATACTTGTTATTTGAATATGATATTTTTGTAGATAATTGTTGATTATAATATCTTTTGTGATTCATATTGTAGATAATTGTTGGTACTGATTCTGCAGAGGCACTGCCATTTTCAGATCCAAATACAAGAAACTTGGTTGCGGAAGTCTCATGTGAGGTACACCTTTATAATAAAGATTTATGATAATATTAGTGCTGGAATGAATTAGATCATTACTGTCTAATAACATGGACTTTTGAATGATAGTCGGCGGCAGTCCTTGATCTTCCTGACAATGAGGTTTTTTAAAAATATATAGTATTTATCAGCAGACATATTCTTTATGCCCCTGTTTGGGTATGAAATGGTTTCATCAACCAACTATTGATTTGACCAGCCAGTTTAACAGAGATGTAAGGTGAGACTGGGGTGGCAACATATGTGGAAAAATTTGTGCATTTGGCTGGTGTTGCCCCAATTAAACTGGTGTGTCCAGTTTTTTAAGATAGGTGTGCAGCTGGAACAGGGCTTATTAGATCAATTGACTACTTTGAACGGTATGCTCAAGAATTTGAATATCAAGAGCTACCAAGGGCCCCTGTAATATCAGATGTGCTCCTGTAAACGGATAGTTGCATAATTATAGCTTTCTGATTACCCTTAAAGGGTGTGATAGTGGGGCAGAACCACTTTTCAGCTTTTAGCAAAGTATTGTGTAAGTCTTGTATTCATTACCTTTATTTGATTTTTATAAAAACCCAAAAACGTGTCCCTACAAAGTTAAGGTTAACTTTGCATTGTAGGTATTAATGTAGGATGTGAAATGATTTCTGGCACCTCTAAGAGACAAACTTGAATGCCCAGTTACATACATAGTGTATATTTTCATTGTGCAATACCATGAACCTGTTACATTCTATGATGAAAGTTGGGTATTGCAATTGCTTGCATAATTGTTCTGTGTTTAAAAAAACCATAAAATTCATTTCTTAGAAACCAAAACTGTACAACAAAAGTGGAAAAATGAAAATTATAGCTGTTGATATGGGGATTAAATACAACCAAATAAGATGTCTATTGTCATGTGGTGTTCAGGTTAAAGTTGTACCATGGAACTATGATTTTGTTCCAGAGCTCATTTCAAAAGGTAAGCTTGTTTGTTTAATCAAGCCAATCTATTCGTGTTGTGAGATACAGTACTTAAACCCATAAACTGCTCTTTGTTTGATTTCACATGAAACTCTTTTGAAGCCATCAGCTCAAATTAACATATTCTCTTTGGTAGCACAAAACGAAATCTCTCAGAGTTATTACTCCCTGTTGCAGCCCTTTTGAAGATTGGTTCTTTCCAGCATAATGGCTAACCAGTTTTTCAACATAAAGGCTAACCAGTTGTGGCAAATAAGAACCTAATCATCAAATTCTATGTTTTTGCAGGATGTTTAAGTTTCATCTTATTGTCTACTGTTTCTTGACCTTCTCTGAACAGAGATACTTCCCCCCATGCATGGGGCCCCTCTACCGAACTATATGTTACATTAATATGTGAATGACACAATTTTACATGATGAATTGTCAATATGTTAGATAAAATTTTCCCAAGATTTTTATTTTCCAAACGATCCTATAACTGTAGCTCAGATTTAACCAGTGTGTTAAACGTTTTTCCTGAAACAAGAGAATTTGTTAAAAAAACTTGCCAGCTGTTTGATGAAAAGTAATCTTATAAACCTTGACAAGTCTCAACTTAATTTTTATTTGCATGTATATTTATATAGTAAGGAAAGTTGCTTGATGATCCGTTGCATTAAGCGTGAACTGTCTGCGTCTATACCCAAAAGTGTGAACAGCCCTGCCATTTCAGCATTAAGCACTTTTTGACAGACTGGTAAACAGTAATCTTCGTTAATGAGAGCTTTGTGTATATACATATTTGTTTGATTATGTTTAATGTGAAAATATTTGACAATATAGATGTTTAAAAAGCATTCCAATTGTTTTGAATCCTTAGTATTAACATCATATTACTGCTTCACTGGCATAGAGATTATCAAACTATTCTTGCCTCTTATTATATTTGCAGAATATGATGGCTTGTTTCTCAGTAATGGCCCTGGAGACCCGACAATGTGCAATGCAACAGTGGAGAATCTTAGAAAGCTGCTGCAGGCTGAGCAAAATATCCCAATATTCGGGATTTGCATGGGTCATCAAATTCTTTCTTTGGCTGTTGGTTGCGAGGCTTTCAAAATGAAGTAAGTTCTAGTGAAAATTATTTCAGCTAGGTTTGTTTGGCCGAGTTGTTTGTGAATTGTATTATGAAGTCCAATCAACTGAAGTTAGATTAAAGGCCAGGCACACTAGGGATTGTAGTGAAAGCAAACTGATTTATTATGTGATTTCTAAATGCTTTCTCTCAATAAACAGGTATGGCCACAGAGGACACAACCAGCCCTGCATCCATTCAGAAACACGGCGCTGCTATATAACATGCCAGAATCACGGATTCGCGATTGACACAGTACAGCTACCTCTGAACTGGTCCGTGCTTTTCACGAATGCAAATGATGGAACCAACGAGGGTATTATCCATAACAGCAAGCCAGTTTTCAGTGTCCAGTTTCACCCAGAACACATGGGTGGACCAAGGGATCTTGAGACCCTGTTCCCGTTTTTTATCAACATTGTAAATTCCTTCAAAGAAGGGAAAAGTGTTTGCCTTAAGGACAGCTTGACAAAGACATTAGAGTACAAAAATCGCAAGGAGAGTAGCAAAAAGCCATATAAAGTGTTGATCTTGGGATCCGGCGGGCTTTCAATTGGGCAGGCCGGAGAGTTTGATTACTCCGGCTCTCAGGTATATGGAAACTTATTCAGTACAGTATCCAGAAAATGAAGCCTGTCTTGTTCCATACATTTATATAATAGTTGTTTTATCAATCAGCGGCCCATGGGCTTTTAGAAACGTTCCCGTAGCTTACAGTTAAAGCTTTTCTGTATCATAAATAAAAAACACGTTTTTGAATTCTTACCACAGGAAGAGAGCTACACACTGATTGGTCAGAAACAAAGAACCAATCACATGCGCTTCTTCCTCTCACTTACTTTCGATCCCTACCTGGATATAAATGTTTGCTTTGGACATTATTCGACGTTTATACTCTGACGGGTGTTGGAAGAAAAGTACTTTAAATGCCTTTGCGAAACCGGCAGCTGTTTAGAGAAATTGACTCTGTTTTGTATTTTCATGCAGTACGATATTAGGCTGGTTTTGGAATTATACTCGCAAAACACGCTTTGAAGACGCATCAAGTCTGTCTCTTTCTTTGTTAGAGAACTGTTAAGGGGCTAAGTTCACGGTCTTCTGGCCTAAGGGTCTGGGATTCGAGTCCTGGCCATGACAAAGCTTTGGCGTTGTCAGATTGAAAAGAGGACCAGGGTACTACTCGATAGGCTGGTCTCCTGAAAGCTGCCTTCAGATAATTGTTATAAAATAAATGCAAATGCAAGCCTTTCTTTCCATTTTCAAGTTATTTGCCCTACACACCCCCTCCCCGAAAACGACACACCCCCCTCCCCGAAAACGATTATGTCATCAGTCGCTACAAAGCGCTCTTGTTTTTTACTCTTGATCAGGCCATCAAGGCATTGAAGGAAGAGAAGATACACACAGTTTTGATCAACCCAAACATTGCCACTGTGCAGACATCGAAGGGATTGTCTGATAAGGTCTACTTCTTGCCCATCACTGAAGATTACGTCACGCAGGTATGCGACATTGTTTATGTGGTATTTGTTTAATATGGGACAAAAGCAACAAGGCAATTAGCATTGCTACGAGGGCTAGCTAAATTTGGTAAATTCAAGCCGTATAAAAAAAGTATAATCAAGCCGTAAAATGTAGCTTAAGACACATGTCATGAGCAAGAATTTTTGACTTATTCTTAAGATATATATATTGTACGTAGTTGCAATATATTGAATTTGCTTAACAGATAATTTGTTTATAAAGAACTGCGAGGCTAAGAATGAATGAAAAAATAAGGTGCCGTAGACAACTCCGTAGAGGCCACCAAACACAGGTGTTTTCCAACCAAACTCAGGGGTGTGCACTTGAAGAATATAGTTTATTGATCTAGCAAAGATCCCTTTGTGAAGCACACTTTAAATAAGCATTTATTTAGAAATATTCTACCTTTTGTAATAAGCATCGTTGCCTTTCTCCGTATCTGTTCGCCTACCTTATCGCTTTCTTTACACTCTCCAGCATTTTCTTTCCTTTCTCTCTTTATTACTTTTCCGTTTTTCGTTTCACCACAAAGCAGTCAAACCTTTAAACAATCCCATTCTCTGTGAACTAACATAGTCACAAGAGCTTCAAACAGAATAGAATCCGGGCCCATTATTCACGATTCTGTTACCTGAATGGTTTTCTAATTTTCGTCTTCTTCTTTGCATGTATGCCAGTCATTTTTTTAATCGTAGGTAATCGAATGGGAGAGGCCAGATGGAATCCTTCTTGCGTTTGGTGGACAGACCGCTCTAAACTGCGGCGTGAAGTTGCAGGAAAATGGTGTTTTCGAAAAGTACAATGTCATGGTTCTTGGAACACCAATACAGTCCATTGAGTGGACGGAGGATCGGCAGCTATTTGCGGAGAAGATGGCGGAGATTGGCGAACATGTAGCGCCTAGCGAAGCGGCCTACTCTGTTGAACAGGTGAGGGATTTATACTCGTTTTCAAGTGGATTGAAAGAACCAAGAACAGGGCGGGGGAGTTAAGGTACTACAGAGTTCAAGTAGGGGGCTTGTGGTTGCTACCAAATGCTCTAGATGAACTAAGTGGGCAAAAATGGGGAATGGGTACAGATTGAAAGAGGGTCTTGCTTGTTGTCAAGTGCATCAGAAGAACCAAGAACAGGGCGGGGCAGTTGAGGTACTACAGAGTACTAATAGGGAGCTTGTGGTTGCTATCATGTGCTCTAGATGAACTAAGAGGGCAAAATTAGGGATAAGTACAGAGAGAAAGAGTTCCTGCTTTTTTCAAGTGCTTAGGGCTCAATTTTTTAACTATTTTCCCTCGTAATCCAATATTCGACTCTTTTAAAGGTTTAATGAATCAATACGTCAGGGTAGTCTGAATTCTATTATAATTTTTAATCCTTAACATCTGGTTTTAATTTCATGTATGGGTGTTGTCCACTTACATTACAAAGTGGTAAAAGTTTTGAATTGGCAAACTCTTTAAGATATTGTGTCTCTGTGTCGAATTCCGAATGGCTCCTGCTTTTAATCTTCCAATTTGTTACAGTTGTTTCAATGTCTTCGGTACAGACTTCACAAAAGAGGTCGAAAACCAACCTGATCTTATCGCATCAAGTTCAGTAGATTTTCAAGTCAAAACTTAATTTACCAGTGAATCTTAGCAATTCATGTCCAGAAATTTATTTGCTATGCAATGCTACTCAATATAAAAACTTCAAAAACAAATTACCGAAAACAGTTCCTACGAAGTAATAAACTACATTACAAGAACGGAACCCAAGAGGAGCAATGACTACCCCCTGGAATTAGACTGTTTTATGTCATGAAGACCCCCTGGAATTAAACATGTATCTAATTATAACTTAAACAAAATTATAAGACTACATGTTGAGACAGTACATTATAATGCTACATTAAAAAAAACATACAAAGTAAAATACTACATATGCATATACAAATAGATTAAATACAATAAATTTATATGCAATTCAGGACATACAAACACACACCGCAGGATTTGTGTGTCAGAAGCTGTTTTTATAGTTAAACTTTCTTTTTATACATATAATTTGGCTTAATACTTCCCTTGGTTTGCTTTTAAAGTATTTTCCATTGTTCACAGCTCCTCACCTCCTGTTCCACAGATAAGTATATGTTCTTGCCTAGCGGCAGTTGACGTGGCTGAAACTCCCATTTCTATGCATAGGCCCATAAAAGTACAACCCCATCATGCTGTCGATTAATGTACCTCACATAGGAATGTTTTTCGAACCACGTGGAACGTTAATTGAGAAGCATTCTTATATAGGAAAACCACTGACGGAAACATGATCAAGTGAGCTAAGATGAATTTAAAAAAACACATGTCATTAGTTAGAGTTTAAGTACGCCTATCTTTGATTGAACCGGAATGGTAATCTACATTTAATATTTGTGGTTGAATAATTCTATAATTCATAGAAACATATGGAGTTTTTGCAATTAAGATATTTTTAAACTAACTCATCGTCTTGTGTTAGGAGAACAAATAAGATTATGGTTACCATAAATCCTCGAATAAGCCCCCGGGGGCTTATTTGCAAAAATGAATATTTAGGTGGGGGCTTATTCGAGGGAGGGGGGCTTATTTCAAAGTTTAGTATTTTCTTCAAAGGTCGACATAAAAACGACACAATTTTCTCAATGAAATAAATTGAATAGCTATTGTCCTGGGGGGGGGGGGCTTTCTTGAAATAAAATATTATTCTGCAATTATGCTTCCCTCGAATAAGCCCCCATGGGAGCTTATTCGTGGGGGGGGGGGCTATTTACAAAAATGAATTTTTGGGTGGGGGCTTATTCGAGCGTGGGGGCTTATTCGAGGATTTACGGTATTGGTATACAACGAGTTAGGATTTTCAGAGAACGTCATGAATTTGTAGAGAACGTTACACAATCTTAATTGTATCAATTTGATAGCCTGGTAATAATAGCGAATGTGTCTCCTGCTTTTCCAGTTTTATCGACATTTTCAAGATTTCAAAAAGCAAAGCTTTCATGCAACTTTCTGTAGAACTCTCTCAGTTATATCTACCCGTCCTTTACTGCATTTTTCACTTGTTGGCATGATGTGTGTGATGTCAAATGAGGTGAATGACGTGGACCTTAAGTACAGATATCCTACCTCGTGATTTTGTTAGCGTACGACAAACATCAAACCGTTGTTTCTCTGCGTACAACCATTTCCTATATTCATGCAAATGACGTCAGATCAGCGCTTCTCTACGCACACATGCCAAGTGCTTTATCGACGCTTGCAGTTCCTTTACCATATCTGCTAGTCATAGCTTTTTCCCAGTCACCTAGAACGAAAAAGGCATTGCACGCTATAGTGCCTAGAGTATCGAAGTGATGACGTCACAAAACACTATTTTAAGAATTTTTCCAAATTTTGACTATATATCCCAAAAGAGCATTATGAAATAATTCTAAATGTGCAAAATCAGTAGAAGGTATTACGAATTGGCTGAGACATGGCCACATAAGCATAGGCCTTTTCCCCATCAAACCTCTGTAATTTGGTCTTGGTTCATAACTTAATGAAACAGACCAGAATAACAGTAATCCGTTAGCAGACTTGAAATCTTTCATTGGCCATATCTCGCCCAATTTTGAACATATCTACCTGTTTTCGCGCATTTAGAGATATTTTGTTTCATTCTTTTAGATTATGTGGTCAAAATTCAGAAAATCTAAAAATAGATTTTTGATGACGTCACACTTCGGTACTCCAAACTATTTTTTTAAATACCTCTGCTAATTAAAACTTCATAATGGTCCTTGTTCTAGTTTCCGTTCTGCACATTCTACATTTAAATCTTAGGTACAGTCTTATATTTATTTGTGTTTATTCTAAGTGAAGAATGTTGTTTTTAGGCCCTCGCTGCAGCCAATAGATTGAAGTACCCTGTCATGCTTCGGTCAGCGTTTGCCCTTGGAGGACTGGGTTCTGGTTTTGCATCTAATGAATCTGAACTGCGAAGCCTCGCAACGGCAGCATTTGCTCACACAAAACAGGTTTTGATTGACAAGTCGTTGAAGGGTTGGAAAGAAATCGAATACGAGGTTGTTAGAGACAGCTACGACAACTGTATAACGGTAAGGCAAAGAGATAAGATTATTTTATACCCCCGTGCTATTTTAAAGTCCTTCTATCTTCTTTCCTTGTTACATCAACATATTCTTTTATTTCTTCATTCTCTTAGCCGAATTATTGCATTCAATTTGGGAAAAAGGCACTCTTTTAATTTTCCCTTTGACAAATAGTCGCTATTTTACTGAATGTTTTTGACACCTGCCCCTGCTTTTTGTAATTTCCGCTTCATTTTTCAATAGGTTTGTAACATGGAGAATGTCGATCCATTGGGTATACACACAGGGGAGTCGATTGTCGTTGCACCAAGTCAAACGCTCACCAACAAGGAATACAACATGCTTAGAAGTGTGGCAATCAAAGTTATCAGACATCTGGGCGTGATCGGAGAGTGTAATATCCAGTATGCACTGAGGCCAGATTCAGAAGAGGTAGCCGAGTTAATTACATAACTCAAAGTGTTGTCTTTTGAATGGTTAAGTTGAATTGACACATGCTTACTGTGTTCTTCTGGCGTTTGAAATTCAGCTTCGTGAGTTTTTCCCGCAAATGCTCAAATCGAAATAATCTTCACATATGAAAAGTTACGTTTCAAAGACCGTCAGGTACAACTCCTGATTAATCATTTCAGTCAAAAAACTTTGAAGAAAGCCGTGCTGGGGCAACTTATGCGACTTATACCAAGGCTTAAATATGGAGGTACTCTAAAGGGGTTTTCGAGAGGACCAGGCTGCTTAAGCCCTCGGAAGTAACGACCAACCCCTCTTACGATTGAGCGAATTCTTTGCTGTGCAATTCATGTAGAAACTGGTCCCATATAATGACTTAAGTTGTCTCAGTTGATGATTTAGATACAGGTAACTATAAAACTGTCACAGCCCTGAAGGCCATAGGCAGATGCCAAAGTGTATTAAGCCATCAGCCAATCATTGTTAGCCAATCAATAAGCGTGCGAGTGGAATCACGGTCACTGATTGGTCAATTCTTAATTGAAAGATGGCCTCATGACATCACAAACCAAATTTCAGGGGTCAACAGATCTTTTTAAGGATTATCGGTCGCGAATTAACATGAACTGTCAGTAGTCTTATCTATTGACTTTTTATATTCACGATTGGCTGTGTTGCCCTTTTTAATCCAACGCTCTTGTGTATGATATCCATCAACCTAATTTATGTGTTTCCAAAAAGAACGTTTCAATACCTTTTGGATTAAACGGATTTGCTGGCCATGCGAAAAATTAAGGAGGTGATACAGAAACCACATTAAGTGCTAAATATCCGATACACTATCTTTGCTGGTGAACGGACGGAGAAGTGCACGGTTTCTTTGTGGAATTGAGGGATCATCTCAAGGAGCGAGAGGCTGTAGCCAAATTGAGCCATTGGTTGCGCAAGTACTCTGGTGTTGAATAAGCCTAATTAGTTGAACTCCTAAACCACAAACTACTCAAAAGAAATCTCCAACTAAAGCTTTATTACTGGCGTGAAACCGTTTGAAAGATCACAAGGCATCACGCTGTCTGTCAAGACGGGGCCTAAATATAGTCTCATTGGTTTTTTATTGTAACCGCTTCCAGCTGCCATATTTACCAAAATGTGGTGTTTATCGTTTCATTAGAATGGCGTACTCTTAAAGTCATTTAACCTTGCCCGGGTTTTCGAGATTTTCAGTGCCCTTCTCTTACAAAGAAAAGGATGGCCTATAAAGTGTCTTTGACGTGTCCAGAAACGTGGTTTTCCTTCCATTGGGCAGTTTCGCTAGGCTTTGAGCAGTGACGTAACGCAATTTAGGGCACCCTGGTTCTAACTAAGGGCCCCCTGATAAAAAAGGGTCCCTAGATTTTTTTAATGTCCATGTTGTTCAGAGCTCCCTCTAGCTAACGAAGAAAAATTTTATTTTGACATATTGCTTTGGTGTTTTACACCCTCTTGCAGTCCCGAAATAGTGTCTTATTCTCAGTTTTCCCCAAGGTGCTTCCGTTACGCCACTAGCTCTGAAAACCTTCCTATGAAAATTAAACGAAAATAAGGCAATGTTTAAGTTTCTGTTGGTTTTTGGCCTTTCTTATGGCTGTTGACTTAATGACCGCCATGTTTTCTGCACTTTGGAAAAGATAGAACATTTTAGTAGATCTCTTTTCTATAATTCGGTATCCAAAATGTCACAATACCACTTGTGACAGTAGCGGCGCCACGGAGGCACACGTCCTCCCAGTTCTCGGCAGAATCAATTTTTTTTCGTCTAAATTCGATGAGAAAATGTTGGAGTAGGGGTAATGTTTTGACAACTTACTTTTTAATGCTATGATTTTCAAACTGCCTTTACGTAGCCATAAGTTGGTCGTGGGCCTTCCTTTGAAGTAAAATTGTTGTTTCATGTTGGTAAAAGAGCGTTTTCTAGTGTAAAAATGGGCGTGGCCCAAAAATTTTTGTTTTGTACCCCCCAAGAGCCTAGTGGCTGGCACCGCAATTGACTTGTGCCACCATTAATTTGGTTGCTCTCTCAAGGACCCTGAGTGCCACTCCTTGGAACAAGCAACAAAACCCATTGTTTCTCATTCTTTTTCAGTACTTCATCATCGAAGTGAATGCGCGTCTGTCACGCAGTTCAGCTCTGGCATCCAAAGCCACGGGCTATCCGTTGGCCTACATCGCCGCAAAACTGGCGCTTGGAAAGGCGCTGCCGGAGTTGAAAAATTCCGTTACCGGATCGACAACAGCCTGTTTTGAACCGAGTCTGGACTATATTGTGGTAAAGGTGCCAAGATGGGATCTTAGCAAGTTTAGCAGAGTGAGCACAAAAGTAAGTGACGTAAATCTCAAGCAAATTATTCGATTCAAATATTGCAATTTGAAACTATGCTCTCTTGTTTCCCTGTTGCATTTGATCAAGATTTCCCTGTTGCATTTGGTAAGAGGTCGTGTCGACTATTTAATGATACCAAAGTACCTCTGTTCTCTCATTTATGTCTTATACAAAAGTCCTTTTCTACTGATTAAGGGCCCAGACTCCAGATTTGGTAGTCTAAGCAAGTTGCTGCTTAGGTGGTTGATTTCTTTGAAGTTATATCGCAGGTCTGGCCATTTGAAGAGAGCCATAGCTGAACTGCTCGGGGGTGCTGCTGATTGCTCATCTAGACTAAATAGCGAATTGCTCTCCTTGATAAAGATTTTTTTATTTTTTTTTATATTTCTATGAATAGCTCACCTTGAAATTACTAATGATCGACGCTAATTCTCAAGTTTTAATTACTGATGAATTGATTTTGTGACTTCTTTGAAGACGGAAACGTCCTTAAAGGCATAACGACCTGTATGTTGTTGAAATGCAGACTTAATTCTTACAATGTGTAGTACGATTTTGTTATTTTACAATCTATCATAACGTTTAATGCAGTAGATCTTATTTCCGCTGTAGTATCGATTCAATAATCCCTTTTCCTCATCGAAATTATGTTAACATTTTATTTTGGGATGTAAGGTGTAATTTGTGAAGATTTGTTATGCTAACTTTTGCGTTTTTTCCCTTGGTTAACAATAGTTTAGTTGGATGATGGGGCAGAAATACTCCAAAGAGGAATGTACTATAAATGCACAAACCAGGGTATTCCAACGACCCATAGATGACAATTATTTAATTTTATTAATTTTCCTCATCTTGTTAGTTATTTTTTCTATTTGTCAGATTGGCAGCTCGATGAAAAGCATCGGTGAGGTAATGGCAATTGGGAGGTCGTTCGAGGAGGCAATTCAGAAGGCATTGCGAATGGTAGACGAGAAGTACCTCGGATTTTCGCCATGTGGTTTGGAACCTTCAGACAAAGTAAGGGGGCGTGATAACGCTTGTTAGAGTGCCCGCAAGCAAATTTTGTTTTTCGTTTGAATTTTAGGTTTCATTTTCACTGTGGGTATAATCTTAAAGTTTTAGAAGATTTTCTTTGTAAATAACAATGTTTATAGCTGGTATTTCTATATTTTTTTAATGATAAACTAGCCTGGACTATTTTTTTGGTTACGTGAGCCCAATCTTTCGTTTCTTTGTTCAGGAACTCGAAGAACCTTCAGACCAGAGGATTCTCTACCTCTGCGCAGCCTTGAAGTCTGGCTACACCATCGACAGGCTGTATGAATTGACAAAAATCGACCGCTGGTTCTTGTATAAATTTAGAAAAATAATCGAATTTGCCCATATGCTTGAAACCAATTTCTGTCAGGTGAGTCTCCATGGTCAATATAGTTTTTAATATATATTTATAACCTGCACATAAGAGGCTTAACTTTTTAAGAACGTACAGTTTAAGCAGGAGATAAAATCCATTTAACACTGACACCCGGGCTTTCGTCCATTCATTCAGAGATATGTATCCTATCTTCTGATAAACTTCCTCAATGGACTCTAAATATTGCGTAAAAGCTTTATACGAAAGGTAGAGGACGAAATTGGAGACAAATAATTCTTCCAAAAATTCTCTTAAAATCTGTTTGTCGGATGACTAATGATTTGGCGAGAGATGATCAAATCGAACCCGACAAAAAGCGTTTGTTGTTGCCTGTATTCCAGTTAAACCTCAATGCTTAACGCTCACACACCCTTTGCTTTTCCAGGATTGGCTTTAGGCCCATGTTAACAAACTCAACACCGGTTGTTCAATGTACTTCATTGCATAGCACCCTTAGCAAGCTGGGTCAAGGAACTAAACTCTTTTTGTTTGGGTTCTAATTTTGGTCCATCAAAAGTAATTAGGTATTATGTGCAACTGACAACTTGCGGGCCCCAAGAGCTCTGTTTTTCATAACAGTTTTTATTCTGTTGACTGACTATCTCCTTCTTTATATAGCTCCTAAATCGAGGGACAAAAGACCATAAGCATAGCAAACGTTGAGGGTACTTCTGCTCTTATCATTATGATTATTATTATCATCGTAATAGTCATGACGTCATCATAATGGTCTTTATTATTTTGGCGTTGTAGCAGATCTCTGATTGGAAAAATTGCACGTTTTCTACATCTTTTGTTTTTTGGCAGTAATCGCTCGAATAATTTACTCGTCCATTTCGATACAAATCTGAAGACGTTCTGTGATGAATTCTAAATACAAGCGTTTTGCCAATCCTTTGTCGATGAGATGAAAATACATCTTATATAATACTTGGCATCTGTATGCCAACATGTTGACCCGGCATTATAATGCAAACACGTCAAAGACATTGCGCAATTGGCTTATTTTATAATCTTGTCAGTAATTTTTTCATTTAAATCGACCAAGGTCTTAAGGTTTCATCTTTTTATTGATTTTCTGTGCATATAATAAATAACAGTTTGTTTTGGGAAAGTTTTTTTATATTGTTTTTATTTTGCGCGGAATAAAGTTTTTAATTCTTTAAACAATGATTTTTGGTTTATTTGGTTTGGTAATTTCATCATCAGATCTTGAATTAAATAAAGTTGTATTATTTGTCGAATTAACCATTATTCATATCCAAAGGCGATACGCCTTTGAAAAAACATAAAGTCGAAATGAAATATTTGCAACTTGTATGGAGGTCCTCCTATTCAGCCTTATGTTCTTTATTTTCTTCCGGGCAATTTTCGCTGCCCTAGAAACGAGAAAAATTTTAGCCACACGGAACAGTCCAGTATTGTTGTACGAAAATCCAATAAAAATTGGCTTAACGCGATTTCATCTTCAGCAAATTATCGTCTTAAAGAGTTTTCAATATCCATTTACGCTGGAGGCTCGGGTTAATAAATCCCTTTGGCAAAACTGATGGAACAGGTCCTCAATGATTGTTTCTAATGCTTTGTCGATCCGAGGTTGCCAAAGTGCCTGAGGAGTATTGGGTAGAAAGAAGATTAATAGGCTATATATATGTTGATGAATAAGTAGTGAATGCGTTTAAATTGATCTTTTCATGACTGAGGTGCTTCGTTAACTGGGTCAAACGATTAACTAATTTTATGCAAAGGAGGAAAGCTGTTAAACAAAAAACCCGTGTCAGGCATGGGCAAGGACGCAAACTAAATTGAGACTAGACTATCATGTAATTCATCAGGAGTTTATTTATTGCTTATAACCTATTATTGCTAGATGTCTGTTTGTTAATCAATTTATGGTTTGACGGAGGTAATGGCGAGGGTGTCTTTATTGGGGGGAGGAGCGAGAATGGGGGGGGGGGGGGGATTGAGCCTTGTGATTATAACAACCGAGTTGTGTTAATAGCTAGGTAATTTTTAGTATCGTTTGTTTTCTTTTAGAAAAGGTTTTCTAAGGAAGGAAATATTTAGAAGATGCCAGAAACGACAACGTTTAAATTGAAATTTGTCCATGTGATTGAAAAACGTATAAAAATGATAAGGTATTCATAAACTTGTTATGGAGGACAGTCATAACGCGTCATTTAATGAGAAATCTCTCCAGTCGCCTACTTTTTCTCTAGGTTTTCTATTTCGGCTTTGCCTAGCGTACAATTTCTATTATTTTTCAGCTTCTTTAAATGCATGGTAAATTAGTTATTTCTTGATCTGACGTTGTACGTTGCTGCTTTCAGGACCCTGGAACGGCAACACGCATACCAAAAGATGTTCTTCTCGCTGCGAAGCAGCTTGGTTTTTCCGACAAGCAGATCGCCAAGCACGTGCAAAGGTGACCCTAATGTTTTTATTGTTGCAGATCAGAGTACTTTCAAGAACTGTGTCTGTTCTTCTCCATTTACCTTCCACTTAAAAGCTATTTTAATGCAAAACTGCTGTTTGTTTGCAAAACAAATGCAAAACTTTACCGTTCTGTCATATTTTGCCCGTTTAGCTAGATGTTGTGAGAGCAGAGCTGTGCAGGCAATGGTGTAAAGAACAGGACTGTTATAAGTTGCGACTGCGAGTTTCACGCTTATTGCGATCATCAGTCAACGTGTACTTAATATTCTATATGAATGGGTGTTTTGATAAAAAGGCAAAGTCTCATGAATATGTTTTATTAGCTTAAGATGATTATCGAATACTTTAGAATAACGAAAATCATTCATTCCAGGGCAAAAGATTATTCTTTGACAATCTTCTCATATAAATCACACACTGTTTTACTAATGAATAGGTTTAGCTAAAAAGCAAATGCCTTCAAATGTTTGATTTTCAACATTCGAAAAATTCATCATATGAAGGCTTTGAACTTTACTATAATTGAGTTTAATTTAACAAGTTGTCTGAATCCAGAGGTTTCATCCTATTGTGTCGAATAGACTCTACTTTAAACCCTCTACAGTTTACTATAGATCTATAGATTATATAGCATCTGACAATCCTGCTCGAATAATTCCCCCCTGATACATTTCCTACTTTATAGACAATGTCTGTGATATTTTTATTATAGGCCCTCTACCTCTCTTGAGGCTTTTCCTTTAAAATATTTTCTAAAGAGCTTTATCACGGAGGCTTTAGCCCCTCCCCCCAATAGTTTCCAAAATGTACTTAAAACCATACCAAGTTTGTTTTGTTTTGCCCCCTAAAAATGTTTTAGCCCCCTCAATCAACAAAATACTCCGTGGTCTCTGTGTAGAAGACGGTCCTTTCTTGAAGTAAATCTTTAAAAGATAAGAAGTGATGCTTCAACCGTCATTGTTTACATTCTTGGCGTCGTTACATGGTTCACAAAGACCGAGCAGGGTTTCTTATTCCTCTCATTCGCAATTGATTAGTGATCAATGGGATTCCAGTTACCTGATAGCTATCAATAGCGCAATCACTTGCTTCTGATACTAATTTCCCTCATTCGCAATTGATAAGTGATCAATGGGATTCCAGTTACCTGGTAGCTATCAATAGCGCAATCACTCGTTTGTGATACTTATGATAAATGGATCTGTATCGCACACGAACGGCATCTTACCATAACCGTTGCGTGATGATCAAGTTAAAAGTGCAATTTGGAGTTGCGATCTAGAAATGTTTTGTTCTACGTATACATCAATGCAAGAGTGGCATCTTCAACAGCAACTAATTGCTCCCTTGTACTTTTCCTTTAAGAAAGTCACCATTTTGAAATAAGTGCCTTTACTGGAGAATACCTGTCTTTGACGGGGAACTTCGATGACGTAGTGTCTTTTCCTGCCACGATTGGAGCGATTGAAGTACCTTTCAGTTTTCTTTAAATTGATTACACTCTTTTTCTTTTCTATAAGAATATTGTTTATAAGAACATTCAGGCACAGATTCATCCATTTTTTGAGAACATTATAAGAATGTTGCTCAGCCTCAGCTCGGATATTTGTGTCTCATTGTGTCTCATCTCAAAACGAAAATTTCTCAAGAATTTCGAGGCTTGAAAATGTTTATAGTACTCTTATTGATAAGGGAGTGCATTTAAATGAATTGCATTTCTTTGTTTAGCACCAACTTGGCTGTACGAATGCTGCGAATGGAGCTGGGTGTCATTCCAAACGTGAAGCAAATCGATACGGTGGCCGCTGAATTCCCTGCCAGTGCCAACTACCTCTATCTGACCTACAATTCCTGCGAAAATGACGTTTCATTTGGCGAGAAAGGTGTCATGGTGCTTGGTTCTGGCGTTTATAGGATTGGAAGCAGCGTGGAGTTTGACTCTTGTGCTGTTGGTTGCATTAGAGAATTGAGACAGGTGTGGCAATTTTACTGTAATAACATCAGTCCATTTGGTATCATGAACATTTTTTTGGTTTTCTAGCAAAGTCCCCAAAGGCTACATGTTTACCTGACAATGTTTGCCCCTCTTCTTGATGTGTATCCGTCTCCACATCGAGCGAGACCTTTCACAGCCTCGACTTCGTCACCGTCGTGTAGCTTTCTCTTAATAATCTGTGTTTATTATAGTCATATAGCTTACACAGGTTGATAGACCCAGGTTGTTCAAGTTACTCTGTAATTTTCACAGTGATTGCTCAACTCTAATAACCCTTCTTACAATGAATTAGCATTTACTTTTTTCTCCTGTGTCTTATTTCCAGCTGGGTAAAAAGACGGTGATGGTTAACTGCAATCCGGAAACTGTGAGCACGGATTACGATGAATGTGACCGCCTTTACTTTGACGAGATCTCTTTTGAGGTAACATTTATTTTAATAATTAAGGTTCTCTCTCCAACGAAGGATGGAAATTGTCCCTTCGAGTCGCATACCCGACTCTTTTTATAAGAACCAGATAAGGCTCGATTTTTTTCTTATTTCTTGGATAATATGGTTACTTATTTTGACACTTTTTACTCTTAAAAGTGTCAGACAGAAAAGATTTTAGCATTTCGGCAGAGACAAATTCAAATGATGCTGTTCTCTAGGATCGTACAACGTTTTGATCTGTAAGAGTTGAAGGAAAGAATGAAATAGGATGTTAACCTCTGTAAAAGTTTTGATAAATTGACTAAAATGGATTTGGAATGAATAGATTTTACAACATGAAAAAATAACCATTGCACTACAAGAAACAATTCGCTGGACTTGTATAAATGAAGTTTTACCATGATGGACGTTTAGGTACCAACATTCTTTCAAAATGTTTTGAATCGATAACAGTTTACATTCTTCTGATAACTAGAATTATGAATGTTGTGTTAAAGTAAGAATTCTTGGTAGAGCAGGCACCGCTGGCATACTCTTGAAGGTTACAATGGTTGTTCATTTTTGCTGAAACTTTTTTCTAGATAGAAATTTTGAGGTGCGTATTTTTATGTGACTGATTGATCTGAGGCTGGATTGTTTCGATAATGCGTGATGTGGTTTCTTTTAGACTGTAATGGATATTTATTCAAAAGAAGACCCAGAGGGTGTTATTCTATCCATGGGCGGCCAAATACCGAATAATATTGCCATGGCTCTGCATCGCCAGCAAGTAAGTTTTTTATTTACTTTGATTTATAGTTAACCATTCTAAATCCCTTTGTATCTAGTAGGAGGAAATATAGAGAGAAGTATATGTTATAAAGTCTGTAGACTTATGTCATCATGATTGTCAGTTTGCATTCCTTGATTTCTGCGGGGGAAGTCCATTAAACAGTCGATTCTGGTGCGCAAGAGGCGCGAGTCCCGAACAGTGGGAGGGCTAGGGGCAACCTCCCATAAACCATACTTAAGACCACCCCTGTTTTAGATTGGCATAGATTGCTTCTTTTTAACAAAATGCCCCTTATAAGCTCAATCAATGATTTTTAAAAAACTGATGCGAGTAGCGCTTCTATAAAGATATGGCGTGGATGCGGCTGGAAGCTCAAATTGTGCCACGGGGTGACGTATTCCAGAGAGTGCAGAATGGGATGATTGCCTTTTCCAGCTACCCCTAGCTTCCCGCTATGACCACAAAGTACCCATACTGTGGGGTTGGCAAGAGACGAGCTTCTAATTTATAGGTCGAGTCTAGATTTTAAGACAATCTTTTGAGCTCCAGTCAAGCAAGATACCTAAACATTTGAGCGAAGTATGCTCAAAAGCATTCAGAAAAGAGCATGTTCGTCTTTGCCCGTCTTGATGATAGTTTGACCTAAGATTTCTATAGTTAACCCCCTTGACTTTTACTTACAGTAAACTGACCTTGATTTAATGAAACTTTTAAAAGTCTGACTTTAACTAATCAACGTGTTCATATTTTTACATTTAATTGGGAAGGCCGATTTGCGTTTACATTTTCATTTTAGTTTCTCGTTTTTCCGTAGGTACGAGTCTTGGGAACATCACCTGAGATGATCGACAACGCGGAGAACCGGTTCAAGTTTTCTCGGCTTCTTGATGGTATTGGTATTCTGCAGCCAGTATGGAAAGAACTTACAACCACTGAGGTATGAATGATGCCTGTCGAATCAACTATCATGTTTATAGCACCGACAATTGTGTAATGCCAGTATATCTGGTTCAGCTCTCTTGTATACAGGACCTTATGCTGCCCAGATCTTTTGTATACCCCCATTTCATCTTGTATTTAGTTGTATTTTTTCTTACTATTCTAATGTATGATTAGATCTTATATCATCGTTGCAGAAAAAATTATATTGAACAAGTTCTGAAATTGGCTAAGCCTTTAAAGTTTGGAGTGTGTTCGACAAAACTGAAAGAATGAAAAACAATAAAAGCACAGTGACAAATGAAAAATAGCAATCCGCACAGCAAGGAGAAAAGAAAACTATGTATTTAAGGAAATGAATTTCTCTACAAGTTCAAAATTTCCTTTGGTTGAGCTTTTAACTGAAGTATTGAATTTTTTTATGTGCAGGAAGCTTTCAACTTCTGTCAGAAAGTCGGTTACCCCTGCTTGATTCGACCGTCCTACGTGCTCAGTGGCGCTGCCATGAACGTTGCTTATAGCGACAACGATTTGAAGGCCTATCTTGGCTCAGCAGTGTCTGTTAGCAGAGACCATCCTGTGGTCATCTCAAAGTTTATCCAGGATGCAAAGGCAAGTACTTATTTCAGTTTTATGACATAACGTATCACAATTACACAGCCTCACAACTCCCACGGGTTAGGCATGTGAGCTTCGTGAGCGCAAGATCTCGATCTCGTATTGAAGATGCGAGACTTCGCTAATGTCACGTTGTAGAATTTTGCTCCCACACTCTACTGTTCGAGAGAAGATCTCATTACGCTCGTTCCTGTGTGATTTTTAGAGAAGGGTGTTAAGGCACCCCTCCCTGATTTTTAGAAAAGTGTCCTTGAGATAATAGATGTGCAACAATTTGCGGAGGGCTGAGACTAAGTTTAAGTTTTTTTTTATGTGAAAGAATGTCCCGGTAGCGTGGCTCTGGGACTGCCTTTTTTTTTGTTAAAGTAATAAAAAAGAAAATGTCTATCAAAAGCCGCGTTCTTCTTCTCCACTTATGTTCTATCCGCTTCTAAATATAAATTATCATTCACACTTTGTCTAGCTGCAAATCTCTTTTATTGACATGTAGCGTGTATGAATAACGGTGATATATACAACATCATAAACGAATATTGTCTTAACATTCAAGGAAATCGACGTGGACGCAGTTGCATCGTGCGGTGAACTGATCAGTTTGGCCGTATCCGAGCATGTTGAGCTGGCAGGCGTTCACTCAGGCGACGCTACTCTCGTCTGCCCACCGCGGCATATTAACGCTGAGACGCTGAGAAAGATCAAACAAGTCACCTATTTAGTTGCTGATGCACTAAACATATCAGGCCCATTCAATATGCAGTTGATAGCCAAGGTGAATATTTATTGTACAATACTTCCCCTCCTGCCTAGACTTTGTGTTAAATAGCTGCCGTACTTGTTTAAAATGACGAAATATTTTTTTATAAAGCCCTTCAAAACTAAATGCATAAGATATCTTCGAAATTCCCAAGTTGTCCTGATACCTTTTTAACGTAAGTGTACCTATGTGACGTAAGTGTATCAAAGAAATATTATCTTATTATTAAAAATTTGAAACATCTTATAATGGCTAACGGTGAGTGGGAATACCCATGAGAAGGTTTTTAAGCTTTTTGCATTAAAGTTGCTGTTTATCGTTTAGGACAACCAACTGAAAGTAATCGAATGCAATCTACGAGCCTCGAGATCGTTGCCATTTGTATCCAAAACACTGAATCACGACTTCATTGCCTTGGCAACAAGAGTGATGGCTGGTGGCAGCTTCGAACCTGCCTTTGACGTCATGGACAAGTGCGAGAGAGTCGGGGTCAAGGTGAGTTGGAGTTTTTGAGTCAACAGAGCTTACCACCAGTGATATCATGTGCTTTCCAGGAGCCTATCTTATCCATTGAAAAGTGTCTCATTGTGGGGAATCCAATGCCGCGTTGGTGTAAATGTTTATTCTCTGTGACACACTGAATAGATTCACAAACAAGGTGTGTCTCTTTGAACGCTATGATAAGGTACGTTTTCCAGCTTAGGCCCGTATAGTTATTCTCCAAAGAAATCAACGATGCGTCGTGTTTATGTATCCATCGAATTTCACATAACAGATCCTCAACTAAAAACTGAATGCCTACGGCAAGCTACTTTACCCTTATATACTGTTCGACAAGAAATTTTTAGAATATACTCGTACAATATCACGTGTGCAGGAATACAATCTGGAATAAGCAAGTTACAGCATGTTACGTAAGGCTCACTCTAGAAGTTTCTACAACTATTTTAGTCAACTTGTCTAGCGTGTTCTACTTGTTAGCATTATTAAGAAACTACTCGAAAGGCCCAGTTCACCACATCATCAAGGAGTTTATCACTCTTGCCAAACAGCCCCAGAGATTTTTTAAAACTAAAGGATTTTTGAGTGAATTGTCATGAGTAAAAGAATTTTTGTTGAAGGCTTTCGAGATTTTCATGGACTGACATTCCCCGCAAGTTTCTCAAGTAAGGTAGAATTGATCAATAGACTAAATGTTTTAACAACCGGGAATGCGCCACCTCACATCTGTGTTTCCTACAATTATTCGTCCACAGTCAATTTTCATTGAACAACGTTTTTCTCTTTGTTGCAATATAATCTTGCTTTGTTTCTTTTGCGGTATCTTTTTTGTCTTATTTTTTGGATACTCTGCCTAGACATCAAGAAAAAGTTATCGGTTCCATGGTGCTGCATTGCGATGTATGGGCTCCTTATAGCGTCACCCTTTTTCATGTTATATAGATATTTTGTTTTCACATTGTTTTCAACTTTCTCAATGTTGTCTGCTAATTACATGCGGCATCAGGGAGCCAATGGAGATATCTGATACATTTTCTAGACATCATGGCATTCCTTTATACGTATGTTTTCTTTTAGCTGTAAATGCACAAAAACCCACTACTCATTCCACCCCAGTCCCATCAAGTGAGGTACCATCCTCTATTCTGAAGTTATTGTCCCTCACATGCTCAATCCATTTTTCATCCCCAGGTTCCGCAGTTCTCATTTTCGCGATTGGCTGGCGCCGATTTTATGCTTGGCGTTGAAATGGCGAGTACAGGAGAGGTTGCCTGCTTTGGTGAGAACCGCTACGAGGCTTATCTGAAAGCCCTTTTGAGTACTGGCTTCAAAATGCCAAAAAAGACGATTCTTCTCACTGTTGGTAGTTATAAGGTAAGGAGTAACTGTATTAGTACAGTGAGGCGCAGCTCATAGATTGCATCAAAGAAAACAAGGCTTTAAATAGGGCAATTCATTCTTTATGATCTCGAGAACCGTTACGTAATGCTTTTTCTATAATATTTGAAAATTAATTTCTTTTTAAACTGCGAATCGACAGAAATAGCATAGCTATTCGATATAGATGTTCTTAATTTCCCTCTAACCCACATTTGGAAATTTGGCCTAGAAAACATGGCGGTCATACGGTCGAAGGCCCAATGGTAGGCCAATTAATAAAGAAAGAAATAAAGTGCCACACCCAAGCCCCGACCAAGCTCTGCCTTATATTCTTTGTCTTCTGAATCGGGTCTTGTTGTCAGGCGAAAAGGTTGGGCTGTTTTCTGGGCCCTATGAGAATTTTGGCAAAACCCAGTCTTGCCGTCCAAAACGTAAAAAGGAACTGTTCGCCAATAAACTTAAAAAAGGTCTTTGCTGCACTTTTATTTTGTGATAGCAGATATATGAAGTCAGATGAAGTCACACGAAAAACGTATATCCTAACTTCCTTCGTTGTTTTATGGAAAACCAACTTTGTACTGCTCCAAGTCTTTTAGAAGGGATGTGTTCAAATGCCACTTACCCTGCCCCATGACATGCTCCTTAAACAATATTTGAGGCTAACGGGGGACTATCTTGTGAAACAGCCAGTTCTTTTTCGAGCCACTGATGGCTATCCTTGTTTCAAAATGACACAGGGTTTTTTGTGATAATTAAAGCATCGATTTATAACTCTGATAACGAATATTTCTTTCCACTTCAGTCCAAGATAGAATTGCTGCCTTATGTCCGCATGCTGCAGAAATTTGGATACGAACTCTATGCCAGTATGGGAACTGGAGATTTTTACAGCTCACAAGGAGTAGAGGTATGACTTCAAATCTTTCGTTTTTTGTAAAAATGCAACTTCAAATAGTGAAAGTCTCTCGCTACCTGCGTTTTATTCTGCTAGCTGACGCCCTGCAGTAGGCCCTTTTCAGCGAATTTCTACGCAAGATTGCCTGACGTCATTTAATTATTACGTCATCATTTGCATACGAGGCTCATTTTATTACAAAATTAAGGCAAAATTTATGACGAGTTTTCCAGCAAGTTATCATAGGGATTCATATTTGTCTTCATCTTTGAATTACAGATACAGATTGTCGACTGGCCTTTTGAAGAAAATGGCGACGAAGGCCGAGAACAGAGCATTCAAGAATATCTGATTCAAAACAAATTTGACCTTGTTATCAATATACCAATGAGTTCCGGTGGGGCGAGGAGGAAAGCTCATTTCATTACCCATGGCTACAGGACAAGACGAATGGCTATCGATTACTCTGTCCCATTGATCACAGATGTGAAGTGTGCCAAGTTGTTCATCGAGGTGAGCATAATTTGGTGTGTTTGTTTACTGGTAGCACACTCGCATAATGTCGATGACGTCATAGGGCTAGAAGCCGGAAAATGGAAAGATGAAAGCGAAAACTTGATTTTTACTGATATAGGTCGATAAAGTTTTTACCTGCCAGGTAACACAAGATATTTTGTCGAAAATACCTGTGCAAGAAAACAAAGCAACGCAGCCGTGCGCTGTCTTTAAGATTCGCGTCCAGCAATCACTTACCGTATTTCCTCGAAAATAAGCCGCGGCTTATTTTTTTCAGGAAAGAAATTTTTCGACCTACTTTTGAATCGGCTTATTTTCGAAATGTTTTCTGAAAACAGAAAAAAACAGGTAGTTCTTTGGCTTTTCATTACTGCACGAAGAGAGCCTGACTGAAGAAAAACTCATTTTTCATTACTGCACGAAGAGAGCCTGACTGAATTTTCTATCTTCTAATGTTCTTTTCATCGATTCTAAAGTGTCTTACAATGCATTGTTGGAACAGCCTTTATCTGCAATATACTTTTAAACTTTTATTTTAAACTTAGCAGCAAGCGACTTTCTGGTAGGAGCCATATTTACAAATGTTTACAAAATGTTTGACTGTCTTGAAGGAGTGTGCCATGCGATGGCTTCACTGTATCTAGGCTTATTTTCGAATCGGCTTATTTTCGAAGGTCGGCCAATTTTCAAGGAAATACAGTAAATTCTACCATTGGAAATTTTAAGGCAGTTTGGATAATAACGCCTCCTTAAACAAATCGCAAATTTAGAATGTTTCTGACATGAATTAATTTCATCCAGGCGCTGAACCGTGTTGGTAAAGAACCGAAGGTGAAGACCCACCTTGATTGTGTCACATGCGGCAGCATTGTCCGCTTGCCAGGGTTCGTCGATGTTCATGTGCATATGCGGGAGCCAGGTGCGGCATACAAAGAGGACTTTGTATCAGGAACCGCAGCGGCATTAGCCGGTGGCATTACGATGGTATTGTGTATGCCAAACACAAAACCCACTATAACCGATCGGAGTGCCTTTGAACTGGCTCAAAAAGTAAGTTTTGGTTTTTTAACTATTTAGTTTTGGATCAACGAACGAACGAATCAACAAATGAATGAATGCATGAATGAATAAGTTAATGAATTTATGAATGAATGAATGAATTTATGAATAAATTTATGAATAAATTAATGAATTGATGTAAGTATTAATAAATTAATGAATATTTGAATGAAAGTATGAATGTAGGAATGAATAAATTAATGAATGAAAGTATGTATGAATTAATAATTGAACGAGTGAATGATTGAATAAACGAATAAGAAAATAAAGAAACAAAGAAATGATCGAATAACCAAATAAATGAATAAGCAAATCAGTAAGATGAAACAATTAAGTTGTCGATCTGTCGTTTTCAAATAGCCTGTTTTACCACATCCTTTTGCTTGGCAAAGCTGCCAAAGATCACCTGCATTACGATTTACGATACTCTTCTGTAGTTGGCAAGGAATTTGATGACTGAATTGTTTTCACAGTGTGCCCGTCTTGGTGCAAGATGTGACTACGCTCTATACGCTGGAGCCGGATCCGACAATGCGGAAAAGATCGCGAAGCTGGCCCATCTCACAGCTGGATTGAAGATGTACTTGAACGATACATATTCGACTCTGAAGATGCCTGATTTGACACAATGGATGGCGGTGAGTGTTTTTGAAACGTAGGCTTGGGCTGGGAGTGTCCTCGAAACTTATCCTTTGGCTGGTTATGTTCATGTTTTCATTCTCTTTGCTATTTCCACAAATTTATTACATATGGCAACATTTTCTTTTGAAGTTCCAGGCAACTTGGAAAAATAAACGTATTTTTTTTGCTCACGAAAAACATCAGTCGTAGCAGTTGTGTTTCTTTACCTAAATAAGTCGATAATAAACAGGCATCGTATGTTTTTTAACTAATAACCTCTAAGGATTCGAAATTTTTTGTCTGTATTGCACCCCCAAACTTTACATAAGCGATAAGAAAAGCTAGTCAAGAACAGGAAAAAGATGTGTAATACCAACCCAAAGTGGTCGAACTTATGTGTTGATAAACACCCATGTTTTTCATAGTCGCTGGTCATATTGAAGTTGTGGCTAAATATCTTTGTAAATGACGTTCTTTAATTCTTAGCATTTCTTCATTGTGTTTAGGTACAGTAAAGGAAAAACTCTTCAGTCTTTAATGTAAATTACTGTTTGACAGTCTTTCGTAAAATACTCGATTTCGTATAGGCAGAGTTCTATACGCTTCAGTGTCAAATTATGATTTCAATATATGATTTACTTTGCTTAATTATGCTTAAAGAAGCCTAACCCTTATACACATCATTACATGATTATTTCTTTAAAGGCAATCTGTCTCGTTGTGGATTGGTTAACGAGAACAATAGCTGGAACAATAGCCTAAACACGATTCCAGCGCTCTGCCTTATTTTTTACAATGCGATAAATTAAAGGGGGACTGGAAACAATAAAAATCCCTTTGTTCTTATAATCAATCAACATCGTGACAGATTGCCTTTAAATACGCTTGGTAAACTTCCGAATACATCACACAATCTTGTTGTATCTTTTGCCCAAGGCGATCTGTAATACGACCAAATTTGACTTTCTTTTCTAGTCAGACGTCGTTTTTTGATTAGTTCTTTTAATCATTTCATTTTCTTTGGCAGCATTTTGAGCATTGGCCTAAGCAATACCCAGTAGTCGCCCACGCAGAGGGCACAACAGCCGCTGCTGTAATTCTGTTGTCACAAATTTATGACAGGCCAGTCCACATCGCGCATGTCGCACGGAAGGAGGAGGTGAGCAGATTGATATATTAGTTATCCCCCTGAGTTACTAGTTTATTTAACAATAAAGTGAACCATGTATTGCTGATACCATTAACGCCACGGCCAAGGTTCTTCACGGGGGTAAAAATTTTTGGATAAGTTGCAGATTGTACTTAGATATAAATTACACCAAACAAATGGCTTAGAATGGATTGTCAAAACTGTAAATGTAATTCCTGCAAATAGATATAGACTTTTTATTCCTGCAAATTAGTCAAATCATGTTTTATCAATCCTTGTAGGTTAGTTTCATGTTTACAATATTTCGATAAAACGCTAGAATTTACGATAGATTTAAAGGAAATGAACTAGAGCAAAGCAACAACAACAAGTATGACTACTATCGGCTGCAGGGAGGTAAATCTCCATGGTACTAGTACAATGTTTTTACGACAATAAGGAAGTTGTAGTATAATTGTATTTTGCTGTCGGTAGAATTGTCCATTGTAGAGAAGTGTCTATAGATTACAATCCTTACTGTGTTACAGTCCTTTGAGATGTGGGTATGGAGAAGTGTTTTGAGATTAAGCTGGACTGAGAGGAAAACTAATAAATGGGTCAAAGAAAAGTCAGAGAAAGGATAAGAACGGTATAGTTGTGGCATCAATGGAGGGTGAAGTAGTGGGGAGAAATAAGAGTGAAAGATGAAGAAAAGCTTGGTTAGACAATATCAGAGAAAAGTGTGGAGGAATGGCAATGATGCAAGGAACCACAAAATCGTTTTGATCTGAATGGTGCCTACGGCTCCATTGGAGCTCTGGCGTTAAAGAAGATGTCTTTAGATTGGGTTTACCCGCTATTTGTTTCGTTTAGCAGTACTGGGACTCAGCGCGTTTCGCCGTGACGCTTTCGCAGTTATCACTTTGATTTTTAATTTCAGATTTCTATCATACGTGCTGCGAAGGAGAAAGGACTTAAGGTCACGTGTGAAGTGTCTCCTCACCACCTGTTTTTGACGGAAGACGACATTGTGACTATAGGCACTAGTCGCATCCGAGTGAAACCTGAACTTGGTTCTTTGGAAGACCAGCAGTCATTATGGGACAATATGGACATTATCGACTGTTTTGCCACTGATCACGGTAATAATCAGTTATATGTGCCCGCTTGCATCATGTACCCTTAAAGGGCCTGAGCTACATAAACCATTTGCTCGCCTGTAATCGGCTTTCTGATAATAATTAAGTAGTTTGGCTTCCTTTTCTGCTTCTGACAATTTGTCTGGCACTGGAAGTAAGCTTGGAAGGACAACAAAAGATGAAAATCGTCATGTCGTCTATTTTTGTAGTTGCCTTAGCAGCTATGGTTGAAGACAAAACAGAAAGTTCGCGAGAAACGTTCGTTTACACGCAGCGACTTCGCTTTTTGTTTGCCAGGCCTCTTTCCAAAGGGAGAACCTTTCCCCTAAGGAGAACCTTTCCCCTAAGAGAGAAACGTTCCCCTAAGTCTGTCATTCTATCCGCTGTGAGCTCACTCTAAGTAATATATATTTTCTTTGGTATTAGCCTATGGTATATTCAGAAAAACTTCCACCGTTGCACCTTATCCCAAAATCTCGCTCGACTGTTTTCATTATAGACACAACCGCAAAGGGTCTATGTTGCTCAGGTCCCTTTTACTAAGTAATATAAAGGACTGAACTTATCAGTAAATTGTAGAGGGTACGAAATATCAGGGAGATGTTAAGGGAATACAGAAATAACAATTTGAAATAGAGTTTAGACAAGGGATTATATAAAATGCACTTTGGCAAAATATCTGCGCTAGAAAATGTTTCTAGGAAATTATCATCAAATTTGTTGGGATGCCTTTCCTCCAATATGGATTTTTAATCACCCGTTCCGAAAAGTAAACTCCCGATATTCTGCAAGACCAGTTTAAAGGTTCTGCTCAACAGGCTTGCTTTGCGTATATATTTTCGAAACCGGCCTAATACAACTCTGCATAAAATATACGACCCATTTCTGCTCGCATAGAAATGAACTGCCGCAAAGCATGCTGGTTGTGCTAGAGCCTTTAAGTCCAAACTTAAAGGACAAGTGACACACTTTTCACCCTATCTTTTCTTTTCATTAACTTATAGATCATCGTTTAGAAGTAAGTTTTTCCTGGTTTAGAACAAAAAATTCTAATCAGGGGGCGCAGGGGGCGCGATTTCGCTTTTTATCACGTGACCCTATGACGTACATTGTGATAACTCGGAATTTTCCTGTCATTATTAGAGAGTCTACAAAACACGACGCAACAGTTCCAGACGAACTAAATTCGTTTAGAAGCGTGTTGTAAACATTGATATTGCACTGTATACCAGTAGAAGCAATAACAAATTATCACAATCTACGTCACGGTGTCACGTGATTCATTTCCCGCCATAATTTTAAAAGGGTTTTTAAGTAGGAAAATGAAATCAGAAAGGAAAAATATTTCAACAGCACTCTCAAACAGCATTTTACTTTAAGTTAAAAGAAAAAAAAATTTGGCGCCAAAAGCGTGTCACTTGTCCTTTAACTCTTATTTATTTTTTATAGCCTGTTTGGGTTGTAATAGTTTTTTATTTGTGCTAATTTTCAACAACCTTGGCTAACGAAAATTCTTCTTACTAATTACGACAGTATATTTCTGCAGCACCCCATGCACTTGAAGAAAAGGATTCAGAAAATGCTCCTCCAGGGTTTCCAGGGCTGGAGACGATGGTCCCGCTTTTGTTGGATGCAGTTCATAAAGGAAGGCTGACTATGCAGGTGAACAGTCAAAACTTGCATTCTGTATTCAAAAAAGAATTTTGCAACTTCTGTAGCAGATTTACATTAAAGCCTGCTTACAATTTCGTTATATAACGCTATATAGGTAATTTGATATTTCACGAAAAAGTAGAAACATAACACACTATACTACCCAAATACTTTTTATTCAACAATTTAAAACGTTTAATAATAACGGAATTTTGTATTTAATGGAATTTTGTTAACGGAAGGTTAACAGAACTTTGTATTTAGTTGTGGATTAAAATATGCATGTGATTGGCACTTTGATTCTAGCCAATCAGCGGCACTTAAAATAATTCAATTTTTCAAGGTGTTGCTCTTATCTCTTAGGACCTGATTCTAAGGCTCCACACCAACCCAATCCGTATTTTCGGCCTGCCTGAACAGAAGGATACCTATATTGAAGTTGACGTTGAAGAAGAATGGACGATCCCTGATTTTATGCCATACACGAAGTCCAAATGGACGCCATTTGCTGGAATGAAGGTTACAGGCAAAGTTAGTCGCGTGGTGCTGCGAGGCGAGCTTGCAGTTATCGATGACCAGGTAGAAATTCATATAAACTATGTGTTTGAATGTAATTACCTTTATGTCAAACACCTTTCCTTCTTCGCAGCCATATCACCAGGATATAATGTTTCTAGACTTTTTTGGGTTTTGCATCCTTATTTTTGATGAAATATTTTGTGATGTGCTTGATGTATATTTCAAGTGATAGGCTGGGAGCTGGAAAGGAGTTGAAATAATGATTAGTTGTTAACATAAACATTTTACAAGAATTTACTTATAGAGTCTAGAATAATGTTCTTGAAAATAAACTTTTTCGTTTATTTTTCTCACCATAGGTTCTTGCAGAGCCAGGATATGGTCGTGACGTGAGGGCATTCCAGCCGCCAAAATGCCTTCCAGCTTTGGAGACCTCATTTGATGTTGTACCAGCAAAATCGCCAAGAGAAAGAAAAGTATCTGGTTCAATTGCTTCACCAAAAGTGCCACCTCCAAGTCCATCGAAAAAAGTCACATTTGATGCAAACCGAGATACACCTTGGTCGGCACCCCCGTCTGTTCATCGATCTCATGATGCAAGCCCTAAGCAAACAGGTATCTTGCTTCATCTCATTCCGGGGGTTTCAATGTAGGACTGAAGTCTTGAATTTCTACCATTTTATCTTTGCCGCTTTTTGATGAAACAAATATGAGAACTTGTTATTAATAAAAATAAATTGTTTTGTATATTGTTTTCTAATTTCGCTGTCTAGCAGTGCATAAACCATTTTCTATTTTGCAGTTCCAGAAATCGTTTTCGAAAGCACAAGCGCAGCTGGTACCCCTCATGCGGTGCTCCTAACTATGCAACATGGCCTGACGGGAAAACATGTTTTGTCCGTAAAGGATATCACAAAAGACCAGGTTCCCACATCTTTCTTTGATTTTTTCCGTCTTCCTTTTGTCTCACCCCGTTTTTTTCGCACTAACATCTCACGATTGTCCCTACCCATATGCTATGTAAAAAATCTTGGATTTGAAATGAAAGAAATTCTCCATCTAAACACTTTCATTGATGCAAATGAGCCTGTTAAATTTTGAAAATAAATTTTGCATTCGATTAATTTTAACTTTGCTCCCTCCATCTTTCAATTTCTTTCATTTTTCATTCTGCCTGCTATATCCTTACCTTCATTTTGTTTTCCTTTTCGTTATTATTTAGTTGACAAGTGCTTTCTAAAAATTTATTTTGATTTTTGCTAATACTTTATCGAATAATTTGGTAACAAGTTTCCAACTTTTTCCCCGACTGTGGCCTCGGTGTATTATCATGTGCCTCCATTCTATAATCGATTTCTATCTGCTTTAGTTTCATCATATATTCAACGTTGCCCATCAGATGAGAAAAGCTGTGAGAAGAGGGGAATCATTTGATATACTCAAGGTTTGTGAAATCTACCGTGAATTTGCAAGCCTTATCCTATTCAATAGCTCCCATCACACCGTTGATTGTGAGACTAATTGAACGACGATGGCGAATAAAGTGCAGTTTGAGGCTAAAAAATTCTCTCTGTTATTTGTGGGTAAATATGGCCCTTTGTAAATTTTGTTGATAAGGTGCTTGAGCAGTTGTAAACAGAATCATCTTGAGGATAGATGTCAAAATTAAAAGCCATATGGTAATCATAGATAGTTTTCTCTGCCCGGTTTATTGCTCCAGCAGTAACCAGATCTTCCCTTAAACGACACTACCGTCCAAAATCATAGATAGTTTTCTCTACCCGTTTTATTGCTTCAGAAGTTACTAGGTCTTCCCTTAAACTACACTACCGTCGATAACCAGGCTAGCTGTAATGTTTACTCTTCAATCAAAGTAACCAAGGGAAAGATCTTTCTGCACTGTTTTTTTCTCATACATGCTTAAAACGTGGCCATGTATCCCCAATGGTGAATCCTCTAAACGCCACTGCTCTATTTGTTCCCCAAGTAGATTTACGCTTTCATTTAACCCAGCTAATTGAAGTAAACGCCCCCTTAATGTGGCCCCTCTGTAAGGAAATCTAGGGAGTTAAAAGGGCTTTAATTAGGGGTTATGGCATCGAGATTTATACAATCTCGAAAAATTACAAACATTCTCACGTAACTTCTTATACCTTATAATCATAAAATGTTCGATATATAATTTCGAAGGGGAGATGAAGGTCTTACAGAGATAGCAAAACTTTAAGTGAGAAAATGGCTCAATAATGTTTAGTTAAATGATTACTTTCATCCAATAATTATTTTCTTATGCAGGGTAAAGTTCTCGGTTTAATGTTCTTCGAACCAAGCACTCGAACGGCAACCTCGTTTCTGTCAGCAATGCAGCGACTAGGAGGCACAGTTGCTCATATGAGGCCTTCTGATTCTTCCCAAGTGAAAGGTGAATCGCTGGAAGGTATGCTGTTGTTGCGATTACAAAAGAAATTATTGGAATGTTCTCTATAGTCTCTGTAGTCAATTACGTTTTATATGTCGCTCTTATCTCCATAAAACTCTTGCCTTTTGCATAATGTCTTAGTAAAAGCCCAGCAAAATACGATGTTTCATTTTCCTTGTCTTCATTGTCCATGGATTCCACTTCCCTTTGGTCTTATTCGTATGTTCCTGCCTATCCTTTTGCGTTCGGTCTCTTCATTTCATTTTCTGTTGTTTGCTGTCAATATCTTTCCGGCTTCCCATCAATTATCCTCTCCAAATGCCCGTTATTTTGGTTTTACGTCTTTCAGGCCCTATTTTCTAATCAGACCATTCCCTAAGCAGTGCTTTGAGTTTTCCTTTCTCCTTGAACTGTGGGAAATTTGCACATTTTTCTTTTCCATCTATTAAATCCTGAATTATGAATCTTGTAACCAGTAGCTAGACGTAAGATCTTGGCCTCAGCCCGTAGTCTGATACAAATGAACGTTTCTATGGACTCACAGCGTTAGCTACAAGCTAGGAAAAAATACGGGACTTAACCAATGCGATAAAACATTTCATACTGTTCTCTAGAAATTTGCCTTCTCTAGGAGAAAGTTATTTTAGTCGAAAATCATTAGAGTCCAAAACATTTGAATGGTTGCCCAAAATTAGCTGTTAAAATGCATTGTAATCTATGCTACTACTTCATGACTAAAGCTATGTGTTTGATATGTTTCATGTTCTCAATATACAATCCTCTAATAAAATGCATTTATATTCCAGACTGTGTGCAGGTGATGAGCTCTTACTGTGATGCCGTTGTCATGCGCCATCCAGAAACAGGCGCGGTTCAGGTTGGTTTAAAAACCTCATGCACTTGAAACGAAAATGCGTCAAAATATACTTCAATCGTTTTTAAATAGCAGACTAACTCTGACGACTTATCAATACCCTTGCATTACGTAAGCCTTGAAATTGAAACTTGCATGCGAGTACAGGTTATTGTCTGTGTAAGGCTCAGAACTAATAGCAGACTTGTTTTCCTGAGGCTGCACATTATCGCTTTGTTAGGTATTTATTGTGTTCAATTTTTTTTACATCACAAATTATGTTGATGACTTTTCATAGGGCATATCCGGAAATGAATTCAACATTTTTTCTTAAAAATGGTCGTATTTTTGAATAGAGAGCAGCAAGGCACTGTCAGAAACCTTTGATCAATGCCGGAGATGGGGTAGGAGAACATCCCACACAGGGTTTGCTGGATGTCTTTACCATTCGAGAGGAAATAGGAACTGTTAATGGAATTACGGTATGTTGAGATGCTCATTTACAAATACAGTTATGCAATTCAGTTTCGTTCAGTACAGTACAGTACAGTACAGTACAGCCATATTTCCAAGACTTTTTTGCGCAATCGTTATGATGTTCCACCTTTTAAAAGTATCCAAAAGGACCTTTTTAGCTTCCAATTCCAATTGCATGTTATGCTAAATTTGGGGGATTTTTAAGCCCCTTTAACACTGGCCTGTTTTTGAGCAAAACTGAGAGTACAATATCCATTTGAGAAGACACCTTTGTTGCGACCGGGCTTCTAGAGGTACTTTTGGGACACTGAGAAGCTTTGCTTTACCGCACCTAGTGATTCCCGTGTCAGTATTTATAGAGAGCTTTATACGCTCCTTACTCTAAGTGAAAGTCTGGTTATTGCAGGGTTTCGGGACCCCAGACCTTCAGATCTGTAATTCAAGACCCTAGTCACTGAGCCAATCGTTCACAAACAACAACACACAAAAGGAATTGTACCAATATGAACGCAGAAAACAGGCCTTTTTTACTTTAATGTCAAGATTTCAAATAATTTCGCCTTCTGCTCCTCCATAGGTGACTATGGTTGGTGATCTGAAGCACGGAAGGACGGTCCACTCACTTGCGCGCATGCTCACTTTATACAGAGTAAAATTGCAGTATGTGTCACCTGCATCTTTGAAAATGCCAGACCAGGTGAAAAAGTACATCGAAGAACGATCCATTCCACAGGTATGTGTTTTGAATATTCCTTTCACGTATTCGTTTCTTTTGCAGCATGGCCCATAGTAGTGTTTCCCAACTTTGTTGGTATAGGCTCTATATTGTACGACTCTTGTGTATACCATCAGTATGTACTGATCTTAGAAAACATTTGATGTGCAAGAAGAGGTTTAAGATTCAATTTTTACCATTGGAATCAATTTAATTCACCTAAGCCTGACTGAGAAATGATATTGAGAGCGTCTCCCTTACATCGACAAGTTGTATGTATATAATATGGGTTTGTGCACTGCTGCGGACCAAAACAAGAACCTAAAGTACTCCCGGACCAACATAAACGTTTATCATGAGTCAATCTCATGGTCCTATAAATTTCATGGACTAGTGAGTTTTTATGTAAAATTGTTTGCTTGATTTCAAATTAAACTTAATCTGGTTTCCTTCGGTTATCAAATATTTCAACTCAAAAACAAACAAAAGTTTTAAAAAGCAGTGTAAAGCCATAGTGCAGTTATAGGAGGGAATTCCAGGTAGCATTTAATGCGTGATATATAGAAATTATTAAAGAGTGAAGCAATCAATTGAGAGTGTACTGCATTTACTTCTGCATTTACTCTATGTAGCATTTTATTAATGATGTATAGAGATTGTTAAAGCGTCAAGCAATTAATTTAGAGTGTATCATATTTGTAAGTTTAGCCATTTACTTCTGCATTTTCTTCTGAGTTTTTAAATAGCTTATATCAGTAACATTTTTTCAGTTGTCTTGATTATGCCACCAATCCCATACGGAGAAGACTTTATGAAATTTAGCAGGTCTTTGATAAGCTTTATTTTGTTTAACAGAGTGAATTTGACTCGATTGAAGACGCATTGCCAGCTACTGATGTTTTATACATGACGCGAATTCAAAGAGAAAGATTCCCTAGTAAAGAGGAGTTTGAGAAAGTAAGTACGAGCGGCAATCTGGTTTTTATCTTGTAATTCGAAGAACTTTAATTGTTAGGCCATCTACTGTAGTTTATTATTAGAACCGTAAATTGTTTAGTTTTGCATTATGTATCCGGGGCCTAAGAAATTAGTGCAAATTTACTTGTCACAGTTTTTGCATGTATGTACATTCATAGAGTTTTTGCATGTATGGCTCCGAAAATCAGTAGACTTTCGAGCGATTCAATAGCTTCAAATTTTTTCATACATCGACAAATCTTTAGGACTTGAAATAAGGTAAGGTAAACAAAAGAAACAGTATTAATAATGAAAAAGGATGAGAACTGCAGTACAAATGTTCAAATCTCGTCAAGGAACTTGCATACCAGCCCTCAGAAATTACGCAGACAATGTTGACCATCAACATGAAACAAGAAACAATAAAGCATTGCTTAGACTGCCTTTGGTTAAAACTGAAACTGCGAAAAGATCCCTTTACTTTCAAGGACCGTGCTGTTTTAACGAACTTCCACGAGGCACGCGTTCCTTGAAATCGCTTGGTTTTTTTAAATCCAAGTTGAGAGAACATTTTTTATCGTAAGAGAGATTGTTAAGTAGAGAATGATTTTAAAGCTTTTATTTCAAGATTCTGATTGTAAGTAACTCCTTTTTAAAGTTTAGGTTTTTCTAATATTGTACATGTTCAAAACAGGGCCCTTATTGATAACAGCACCTTTGTTGCTGAAAAGGCAATCCTGTATAAATAATTATATTATTGTTATTATTATTATTATTATTATTATGTATTAGCTTCTCAATTCTCAGTTTGTTTCTCTTCTGATTGCAAGTATTGTGTGGTCTTCTAAATGAATTTTTTTCTAGGTCAATGATTCCTTTCTTCTGACACCAAGACTTCTCACGCATGCGAAAGAGAAAATGGTCGTAATGCACCCTCTGCCAAGAAATAACGAAATCAGGTAAGCCCCAACTAGTATTTGTAGAATTTGCTAGGGTTTTTCTGAAGTAACCAATCCCGGCAAACCTGATATATTTTATTACTATCAAAAGCATCAGGAAGCAGTTTATCTTTGTATATGATATCAAGCAGGGATTTAATTTCCCTCTTTTTACGCCTGTTTTAAAAACCAATTTTGTATTGTACATGCATTATTTGAATTTTCCTTTTAGTCCGGAGATCGATAGTGACCCAAGAGCAGCCTACTTCCGGCAGGTGGAATGTGGAATGTACGTAAGGATGGCGCTGCTGGCCCTGGTTCTTGGAAAATGCTAAAGAATTCCTAGAATTGTTGTCTTCCACATACTATCCAGATACAGATATAATCTACAAATATTGATAGACTTCATATCACTTAGTGAACTGTTATTTGGGTTTAAAACAGAGAAAAGTATTCAAGAACTTAAATTCTAATAATGGGAGTAGCTAATGTGCAGCCAGTACTTGCTTTACCTCGACACGTCATGTCAGGTATGTAGCAAGTAAAGCCGAACCCCCCTTTAATTTGTTGCTTACCTGGTTACCTGAGCTGATTAAATTGATGATGATGCTGATGATGATGATGATGATGATGATATTAATAATGATTGATGATGATGATGATGATGATGATGATGATGATGATGATGATGATGATGATGATGATGATGATGATGATAATGATGATGATGATAATGATAATGATGACGAAATTTTACGAATAGGGGGTGAGAGAGCAACGAATAACTTTGTTTATGTCCCAGATTCCTTCAATGTCTTGTTATGTTGCATTTTTGTTTAGTTTATAACAGTAAACTGTCTCTTGATAATAACTTTATTTAAGTTTTCTTTATTTAATCGTTTCGTTAAGTAATGTCGAGAAGCTTGCGTCAAATTTGTGCTTAAAATTGAAATTTATAAACAGGCCTATGTATTTGTTTCTGGTAAAGATAGCTAAGCAATACATACGTCAATTACTTTTGAATTAATGGGTAGAATCTAATTGCTTTTTCTTTCAAGGATATATTGAATACAATAATGGAACTTACTTTCGGTGATAAATATATTTTTGTACTTGGCTTTCATGTTGCTTTCTTCTTTTAAATGTTTTCTTTGTTCTACTTTTTGATTCCATAATATTTTAAATTTATTTGATATACACGATGTTGATTTACGTAAAAATATTTTAAAATTTCTATGAAGAACCAGTTCTTAGTAGCATAAAAACCCAGAAGCGTGTTTCTCGTATAGCTGAAGCATTACTGCATAACTGTTGTTAGAATGTCAAGGATGGGGTAAAAGGTGACTGTATTCACAACTATGAGCGAATTGATGCATACGGAAGACAGAGAGCAGTTTGGATTTGTTTAGGTCAATCAGTTTCTTTGAACTGCGAACGTGATTGCAAGCAGGGGCGGAAATTTGGTCAAATATTGGGGGGGCAAGCCTATTGTTTTAATAAGATGACGTCACATTTCATATTGTTTTGGAACAAAAGACCACTCTCCTTAAAAGTATTGGGGGCGGTCGCCCCCCCCCCCCCCCCCCCTCGCCCCCAGGAGTCCGCCACTGATTGCAAAGTCCTGTTCAGGAATAGAGTTTTTAAAAAGCTAATTAACTAAACACCAATCAAATTCCTTCCCTCTTTTGCCATTCTGCAAGCATTGGCTCGTATTGGTCATCCAGTAATTTTTGTTGTTTAAAGATTTAAACTTTGAAAATCTGTCAAATAAATTACCGTTTGAAAAGTGATTGGGAAAGTGAATATTCATTTGTAATATCTTCCAATTATTTTCCAAGTGTTATACTTCAATCACAATGAGCAGATTGACGTCTGGTCCGTCAGTCATGTCAATTAAGCCATGGCTCACGGTTCAAATATGTCCAAAAAGACCCTGATAAAAGCGACATGGCTAAGGTTTCAGTGACATGGACCCTTAATTCAAATTTGGCCTTACTTTTGCAAAAACGTTAACTGTCAGCTGGGAATGAGTCTCCTATTTCTAGAAAGTCTCTTCGAATTTGGATCTTTGATTTTCTACCTTACTTTATTGATAACACGACTTTATTGATTGTCTACCTGATTCATAATTTTCCACCCTACATGATTGATTTTCAACACAACTTTATTGAGATTCCACCCGAATTTATTGATTTTCTACCCAACGTTCTATATTTTTTACCCGACTTTATTCAATTTCTACCCAACGTTTTTGAGATTCTCTCTTCGTTGATTTTCTATCCAACTTTATTGGGATTCTACCTGATCTCAATGAGATTCCACCCGACTTTATTGACTTTCTACAAGACTTTCTACTAGCCTTTATTGACTTTCTTCCTGACTTTATTGACATTTTACCTGACTTTTTTACTTCCCACCCTACTTGACTGATATTCTAACAATCTTTATTGATTTTCTTTTATGCTTTTATCCGCTTTTATGGACTTTCTACCTGATTTTATTGATTTTATTGAATTTCTGCCAGTTTTATTATAATTTCAGCGTAAAATCTAAACAAATTCAGGTAGGAAGTCAATCATGTTGGGAAAAATGATAAAGTCAAAGAGAAAATAAACAAATAAGGTCTGGTGGGAAGTCAAAAAGTTGGGTAGAGAGTCAATAATATCCGGTAGAATCTATTGTAGTTTGAGCAGAATCTCAAAAAATTCGTGTGGAATCTCAATAAAGTTTTGCGAAATTTGGCTGAAAGTCAATAATGTCTTGTCAATAAAGTAAGATGGAATCTAAATGAATGAAGTCGGGTACATTTTCAATAAAGTCGGGTAGAAAAACAAACAAAGGAGATGGAGTCTTAAAAAAAGTTGGGTTGTCAAGAAAGTAAAAAATTCAATACCGTCTGCTAAGAATTCCAGAAAGTTTGGGGGTAGAATATTAGTAGAGCTGCATTGAAATTAAAAAAAAACCAGGTAGAAAATAAATAGTATTGGGTGAAAAACCAATATAGTCGGGTAGGAAGTCAAAAAGGTCGAGTGGAATCTCAATAAAGTCAGGTATCAATTCAATAGAATCAGGTAGAAAGTAAATAATATCGGGTATAAAGTGAATAAAGACGGATATGAATCTCAGTGAAGCTAGGGATAATCTCAATAAAATCAGATAGATATCCAATAAAGTCTTGTAGAAAATTGAATAAGTCAACTAAAAAGGCAACAATATCGGGAATAATCCCAATAAAGCCAGGTAGAATATCAATTAAGTGACATTGAAATTTAAGAAAACTAGATAGAAAATCAATTAAAATTGGGTAAAAATTCAATAAAGTCGGGTAGGAAGTCGAGAAAGTCTGGGGGTAGAATATCAGTAAAGCTGCATTGAAATTCAAGAAAACCAATAAAAATTCAATAAAGTCGGGTAGGAAGTCGAGAAAGTCGAGTAGAATCTCAATAAAGTTCAAGTCTACATCAGAACGGCGATCAATGTTAGCACTAAATAAATCCATCCATCGACTGAGGTGTCGTTTCCAACCTGGCGTGTCCTATTTAACGTGTGGAGAAAACAGAGCAGGAGAAGAGACGATGTGACTACTGCGTGTCTTGATTCTAACTGAACTCTAATTGTTTATAACTTTATATACTTACCTATAAAAACTTATTACTAAAATAAACATGAATGATGTGAGAAAAAGAAATGATCGGAAGGGCGAGTAAAGGTGATGAGTAAATTGAATAGCATGGCAAAGATAAAGTAAACAATAGGGACTAATGAATGTGTGAAATGAGAGTGACGTAGTTGATGCCTGTGCTGCAATGTGAGAATGTCATGGAATGAATGAGGAGGAAAAATTAGCGTAAACAGGCCTAAGTCAAGTCGCTACAAAGTCGGTTATAAATTCAACAAAGTCAGGTAGAAAGTAAAAAACCGGGTAGAAAGTCAAATAGTCGGGTATGAATCTCAGTAAAGTTAGGTAGAATATCAATAAAGTTGGATAAAAATTTAATAAAGGTGAGTGTGGTAGGAAAGCTCAAAATGCTGGCTAGAAAATCAATAAAGTTAGCTGGAAAGGAAATGAACTTGGGAATAATCCCAATAAAGCCTGGTAGAATCTCAATAAAGTCATATAAAATTTAATAAAGCCTGGTAGAATCTCAATAAAGTCATATAAAATTTAATAAAGTCTGGTAGAAAGCTGCATAAGCCCGTCAAAATCACAAAAAAGTCGGGTAGAATATCGATAAAGGTAGCTTAAAAGGCAACAGAATCGGGAATAATCCCGATTATCGATATCAAAAACAATAAATTCGGTAAAGTTTAAATAAAGTCGGGTAGAAAATCAATAAAGTTGGCTGGAATCTTAATAAAAACGAATAGAAATTCAATCAAGTCCGGTAGAATTTCAATATAGTCGGCTAGAATTTCAAAGAAGTTGGATCGAAATTCAATAAAGTCAGCTAAAATATCAATATGGCGGGTAGAAAATCAAAAGTTTGGTAGGAAGTCAAAAAGTCGAGTAGAATCTCATTAAATTTGAGAAGAATGTCAAAATGTCTGTTGGGATCTCAATGAAGTGAGCTAAATATCAATAATGTCGGGTAGAATCTAAAAAATATCCTGTCCAAAGTCAATTAAGTTTGGTAAAAAGTCAATATAGTCTCATAGAATCTTAATAAGTTCGGGTAAAAAGTAAATAAAGACTCTTGCAGAAAGTCAATTAAGTCGAGTAGACTCTCAAAATAGTCTGCTTGAATCTCAACAAAGTTTGACAAAATAGAACCTTGAGATTATTCATTAACGTCGGATGAAATCTCAATAAAGTCGGATAGAGATTGAATAAAGTCAGTTAGAATACTAATCAAGTCAGTTGGAATCTCAAAAAAATCGGGTAGAAAGTCAATAAAGTCAGCTAAAGTCCGGTAGAATCCCGATAAAGTCGGGTAGAATATCAATAAAGCTGCATAGAAATTAAAAAAAATCAGGTAGAAAACTAACAAAACTAACAAAGTTTGGTAACATCGTAACAAAGTCAAGTAGAATCTCAATGGCTAAGAGTGTATCAAGTATATTGACAATGCCACGTAAAAGTTCTTGAGGCTTGGAGGCAAAACTGAGAGACAAGGCTTCCTGCAAGTGAATCGAGCAAAGAAATCTTGTCACTTTGAACTTTTTATTAGCTTAAAATACACTTTGGAATTTGCTCTTGCCGTCATTATCTTGCTTTTCTTAAACGTTTCACTATTTTGTAGGGTTGCATTTGGTTAATTCCATTCTTTAAATGAGCTTCATTTCTTTATACGGCCCCCTAGACATCGAGGCACTGGAGTAATTTGCCATCCCTGCCCCCTTTCTTGTTGGCCCAGGATATATGCAGGCTTTCTAAATTCTTTTTTATTGTTTCTCGCTGTGACTATACATACTAGTCTTGTCACAGGACAAAACCGTTTTATCACTGCAAAGGTTGGTTATCACTGCACCTTAAAATTAGGTATGCTTTTGCGGACTCAACATAACCAATTACGATACGATTCAAGAGTCATAACCAATTCAGGAGTCAGTATACCTTCTAACAGCTATGACGAGATGAAAAAGATGAAGAGAAGAAAATTGGTTGCAAAGCATGCTACGTCATGCAATGTAATAGCAATGTCAAACATCTGGGAAAATGAAAGCATGAAACTGAAGAAAAAAGCGAGATTAGAAAACCACCATAGTTTTAACTATTGTGGCATATGGGCCCGAGTGTTGAGATCTTAAGATGTATAATGGGAACAAATTTCAAGTTTTGAGCCGTGTTGCTACCGCTGGGTATTACCTAAAAGCTGGGTAGAAATAAAACAAATGCTGAAATGCTAAGAAAATACTTCGAAAACTGAATGCAATCATTCGGAAGAAAATTGCCGAGACAAACTTTTGCAATTTGAAACTTCACGTTCCCTTGTAAAATCGAGTCCTCTTTCCTCCTAAATCAACATTTGACATTGAATCAGAGGAGGGAAAAAGTTAGTATTGAATGGAAAGATGAAAAGAATCTCTTTTCTCATCTAATCTTGTCCGGAAATTGTAGGTTTTCTTTGAAAGGAGCAACAGCCTAGGCAAGAGGATTCTGACTTGCATTGTAGTAGAAATGTAAAGAAGATAATGACGAAATACATGGATGTGTGACAGCATAGCATCAAAAACGGTTGCAGATTGCGAAGGAGGTAGCCTCTGCTTCATTCTTTCCTTTCGAGAAACGTGCAAAATGGCGGAGTACGATCTTACGTCGAAGGTTGGGCAATATTTGGACAGACATTTAGTATTTCCGCTGATAGAGTTTCTTTCTGGAAAAAAGGTAACTGTTACGGCAATTGTTAAGAATTGTATGCTTTTTTAGACCATTCAATCGAGCGTGTGCATCCGTTCTGGCGTAGGCTAACAAAAATTTGCGTAGGCCAACATGCAGACTAAAGACTAAGTAAGAGGGCCCTCTTGTTGTAATATTTATTTTGCATGAAAACAGGATTTAGCTGCTACATGTTAGCTGTGAGATTAAAATTTGGGTAACTTAAGTCCGGATAGTTGTACCTGAATCGCTATTGCTATGTTTTAATTTAACTTTTCAAAGTAAATATTTAGACGTATTCCCCCGTGAAAAACTGAGCTTATTCAAATTTCAAATATGCTCGGATAAAGAAAATCTGACTAATTTTCGGTACCAAACTTTCATTGAAAAGCATCTGAAAACCCGAGATCTTGTTGAAATACTGCATTTTCCAATCCAGGGTTCGTTTTTAACTTTGAATTTTGATTGATCATCTTTTTCAAGAAAATGTAGAATTTAAAGTGCTTCTAAGGTCAAAAATAACTTTAATTTAAAAGATATATTTTATTCTGGACTCTGCTATATCGAATTGCTATAGAATGGAATTGCTATATCGCGTCTTATATCATTGCTATTGCTGTTAAGAGTTTGGCCTAAGCTACGAACAAAGCAAAGAATCTGTGATGTAATTAGGGGCCTAGAGTCACATGGTTAGATCCACACAAAGGGCTGTAGAGGTGGAGCTGACAATAATTTAAATGAATTTAGTTTTCGTTCGGTAACAACATCAAGTAAATAATGAAGCTAGATTAAATATGTAGAAAGCTAATTCATAAATTCCAGTTCACTTCCCACCCTCTGTGAGTTCTAAGCATGATCAAAATCATTTCTATGTGGCTAGGCCAAATGAAATCACCAGAGAAGACATTTTGTTATGGTGGCAGCTTTCTGACTCTGGTTAAAAACATGTTGAAATAAACACTATTATTTCCTGGTTGTATTAAGTCTAAACATTCCTCGTCATGAACTTTGAATGTAAAGCGAGAAGATCAAAGAGACCCATTCAGGGTTGCCAGATTGAATTTACAAACAAAGGCTAGACTGGTGAGCAATTTAAGCCAAAATGCTTACAAAAAGGCCAAATAAAAAAATTTCTCAAAAATCCATCGAACAGGCACTGGCTATATTTCTACGCTTGTGCCTGTTAGATAATTTCTTAAATTAGATAAGAATCTTACTTTTTTCCAAAACCCTTTGCTAATATCAAAATAATATTTAGGTTAGGTGATAAAATTTGAAATTTGGTTAACACTTTGTAGTTAACTACTAATTATTCCATGAATGTAGTAATTAATAGATAGTGCCTAAATTAATTTTAGACGTTCTGCTGAAAAGGCCAACATGGTCAAATTTAAGTAGTAAGCAAAAAACAATTTTTACAGGCAATCTAAATCTAAAAACCAAAAATGAAAAATTTGGCCTAAAAAGCCAATCTGGCAACCCTGGACCAAATTTGTGCATTATATCATCCAGTCTTCCTGTTTCATTATGACAAGCACTTTCATTTCAAATCTGTTTTAAGGCACTTGTTTTTTTGTCGATCTTTTGTTTAGTTCTGGAAAATCCATTTTCAATCACTGTTTTCCAAAGTCTGACTTCGTTTTCCAAATTTTCTTGTAGCTGCACTTTTTAAACAGTCTTTCTCTGTGAAATTCTTTGAAAACTTCTGCTTCAACTCAAGCCTGGTTTCCATATAGCTGTAAGATGCTGTAAGGTTGTCGCAGCCATTGCCGGAGCCATTTTCTTGGCATGCCACGACCATTTCAACTTTAATCGAAACACCTCTCCCGGTAACGATTTGGAAAAGGTTGAATAGTTTTAACTTTTCTCGACACTACTGGCACAGTTAGCGTTATCTCGCAATACTTCAGGCACAATTGTTGCAGCACAAGATTCAGATGTTGCCATTTGAATCGATGGCTGCGGTACCCGGTTAATGGCAGATAGAAAATGGCAGAAAACTGCCGCCGGCCACTTTACAGCTATATGGAAACCAGGCTTTATTACAAAAACTGGGCACTGGCTTGATGAAGATTTCAACTACAAGAGGGCTATGCTTAATGCCAGACATTTTCCAGGCGGGCATACTGGTGGATTAATTGAATCCAATTTAAATATCATGCTCGGTGAGTGGTCAATTGATCATAGCTCGGTAAGTGGCCGTATTCAGATGTTGGTTTGTGATGGTGCTTCAATTAAAGCACTTGGTGCACGTCTCTCAGAGCTTGACAGCATTCACTGTTTCATGCATCGACTACAATTATGCATAGAAAGTTCAATTCTCAGTCAAAGGTCAGTGAATGATATGTGTGCTAAAGCGAGAAGATCGTGACGCACTTCCATCATTCTAGCCAGGCATGCACTACATTTAAGAACATACAAATTGAAAATTTTTCAAAACAGCTCCTTGTAAAGGATGTAAAAACCCGCTGGAACAGTACATTTCTTATGCTACAGCGGCTGAGTATTTTAAAAGCTACAGTACAACTGTATGTGGGACAATAAAATTCCTATGCTGACTGCCAATGAGTGACAGCTTATGGACAAAGTACTCCGTCTGTTACAGCCATTCTTTGAAATAACTAAGAAAGTTAGCGGTGAGCAGTCAATTTTATCAGCTGTTATTCCCGATGTTGCTGCTTTAGACAGATATCTTACAAAGTATGCCACAAAAGATTCTGGTGTTCATACGCTGAAAGAGGAGTTTCGACAAGAACTCAAGCGGAGATTTTTCTCTCCTAACGAGCAGGAACTTGACGATACATCCAGCAAACCATACGAAGTCAGTACTCTTTTGGACCCAAATTTTTTAAAGGGAAGTTCATGTCAGTTAAATCCCTTAGCAATGGACGGGTCATGCTGCTAAAAGACATGAGAAAAGCAGCTTTAGTGCTAAAGTCTGCTGAAGAAAAGGGTGACAATAAAGACGATACAGACGAAGAGGACTGCGAACCAGGGCATAAGAAAAAGAAATTGGAGACACTACAGGAAGAGATTCACTAAGACTTTCTGGCATGCTATGACAAAATTTAACCATGTTTTGGGGTCTGATGATGATGAAGGTGACGATGACTTCCCACTGGAAGCCATTGTTAGGAAAGGAAAGAGACACTGAGCGTCCCACATTCTGTTCTAGCTGCAGAACTTGAGAGGTATGTCAACATGCCATGCATACCATGCACGGAAAGTCCTTTTCTTTGGTGGAAGCAGCACAAAACTACCTTCCCTCATATTGCCAAGCTAGCCTAACAATTTTTATCCACGCCAGCATCTAGTGATTTTTGGAGTGGCTTTTTCGGGAGGCTGCTAACATTTTTTGAAGAGAAGCGATCAAGACTTCTTCCAAGGAATAGCAAGAAGTTGCTTTTCTTGCATCACAACTTAGGACGTTTGTATCTTTTTGATGTTTGACTGTTTTTATGTTTGACTGCCGATTGGGACGCTTTTTTAACTTTTAAAACTACGTTAAAGTTTGTTCTATTGCTTTTAATTTTTGTCGTTCTTTGTATTTACACTTTTATAACTTGTTTTCTCTAGAAATTTTCTTAGTTATGATTAAAATTCTGGAAAATCCGGCAACTGGCTAGATTTCGGAAACAAATCCAGCCGGAACCGGATTTTAAAAAAATCAGCGATTATCCGGCCTACCGGATATCCAATACACCCCTAAGCAACACCTCCTGACGTCACTGGAGGCATGCTTTGTTTTGCCTCTATTCTGTATTTTGGCACTTTCAGAGCCTTTTAACAGCATATTCACATTCTATCCTGGGAAATAGTCTAATTCATCGAAATCAGCGAAAAATTTCACATTGGTTTCAAACAAAAAAAGGTGTGGTAATTTTTGGACCTTAGAAGCACTTTAAAAATAGTTTAACTGCAGTAGCTGATATATAAAAGTTCTGTGGCTGCGGACTGTAATTTTGCATCAACTTCATCTGATAGTTGTTTGGTTTTTAAAATATCAATGCCCCTTGAAGGAGTATGCCAGACTAAATGCATAATATAGAACACTGAAGTACAGAATAGTGTACGTCAATATTGAATTACTTTAACTGAAAATTCTTTTTGAAAATTCTAAAATAGAACTATTTGAAAGTATAAAGCTGAAGTGGGTTTCATCCTTCAGCTAATTCACTTGTTTGCTGATTTTAATTGTCTCTTGGGACATGCCTAATCACATTTTTCCGCAGATAAGTTTTTGCCTGATTGAATAACTTTCATCTGACTGTCTTATCTAAATCTGTCAAATATGAAAGGTTTGCAAACAGCTCAGATTTATATTGTTTGGCAAGTTAAAAGAATACTGTAGACATATTCTAACTAATCCAAACAAGTTTGAAAAACCTTATTAGTAATACTTCTTTTTTATTTAGATCTATGATGAAGATGAGCTACTTCAAGGAAAAATTGATCTTTTACAAGATACAAATATGGTAAGTAAGAAGTAATGTATTCTAAGATTTATCAAGAACCCCAAAAATGTTTCTGCAGAAGAAATATGGAATATATTTATATCTTGAATATATTTAGATAGAGGTTTTGTTAGGTTTTATTTATTTAAAGTTTGAAATTTTTGTGAGATTTTGTGCTTAATATTTATTGCTTTTTTCAGAAATTTAAAAAAAATTTAATACAGTTTTAGTTTTTTACCAATCAATTTGAATACTGAAAAAGAAAGAAAATTAGCTATGAATTACAAAAAATATAAGCAAAAAATTCAGAAGGATTGTAATTAAAGTGACTGTAGCTCTCAAATAGACTAGGGAAAGATCACAGTAAAGGTAAATAAAATCTTGAATTAAATCAAATATTGAATTAATGCAAACATTTGCCAGACTTGTTCTACAGAAATCAAGACATTTAATGTTAATCTTAGTTGAGTTTTTGAACACTTAATCAAGAAAAAATTTTGAATATGAGTCAAGGCAGTTTGCTTTGATTCCTGAGGGTGAACGCCTTTTGTTGTCTTTTTTTAGACTTTTCCAGGTTTCTTTCTGTTTCTCCTTATTCTAAGCCAAAGATGCGATTCTCAAGATATATTTCATGTTACAAGCTTTTTAGTTGAGAAGAGAAATTTTATGACTATATTGTCATTTACAATCTCAAATCAATTTCTGATTAATGCAAACATTTAAACATTTTTTAATGAACCTCAAAAAACAATCCTTTAAAAATTACAGCCATATCTCAGGCCTTGCCCGGAAAGGCGCTCGATCGAGCGCGCGCGCCTAGAGCGCACCCAAAAAAAGCCTTGGAGAGCGATTTATAGAGCCCCTCAAAACTTAAAAACAATATTAACACGGAGCAAAATAAATTTTTGGAATTTGTTGAATCAACTTGATCAAGCATAAACAATCTTCCCAACAGACCGCAATATTATGATTTGCGTAAGATTACCTCTTGTGAAAAAATTCAGCAAATTCAACGTTGGGTTTTCGATATCATTTTTAATCTAATAACCCTCTAATAACCATCAAGGACACAGGCCATCAAGCGTATTCTCCAGCAGATTTATTTGATTTTCGAGCAAGCGTTAATCTTCTTTTGAAGTATATATATATTATTTTCTGTTTTTCTTAATAACTTAAAATCGCCCTGTGCAAATCAGCGATCACGTTTCCGTCCAAATTATCGCATTGTTTTCATTTGCTTTTGCGAGTAGTAGATGTTCTAGCGTTTCCTATAGAATGGATAACATGAAAAAAGGAAACAAAGTTAAATGTTCTATTTAAAGCCATGCGTTTTGATGAAGCAATAAATGAAGCTGAACATAACAGTAGTGATACTGACACTGATAAAAGCTCATCGCATGATGGCAACTTACATATCTAGAAAAATCTGAACAATTTTGCGACTTTGTTCTATTATATTTCTATATTTATATTAACATAGTGTTTGTTGCATGTTTTGTTATTTCATATTATGGTGCTTTCTGGTATCACCGATGGAATTTCATATTTAACATTCTTCCGAAGCTTTTGATATGAAGCTCTCCATCTCCTAAAGCTCTCGAAGGATGCGCTCAAGGAAATTTACTTAGAGGTGCGAAATAGAGCGCCTAGAGTTTCTAAGGGGCTCTTTTTATGGAGCACCTTCATTTTACTTAGAGCAAGGCCTGATATCTTTAAAATTATTACCTAAGATCTAGTAAAATATAGCATCTCGTGATATTTATTTCAAAAAATGATGCTACTATATTTTCTGTAAGGTTGACTTTGCCATGGATGAGTACAAAAGACTACATGAAGTAGAAGAGGTTCCTGAAGGTTAATACTTCTTTATACTTTCAATATTTGTTATACTTTTATATTTTCAGTTATAGAAAAGTCACTATATAGAATTGTACAATATTTCTTTGAAAATTACTTTTTTTTCTTTCATTTGTGCTTTCAATAGATACCTTTTCATTTGTACTAGAAAAAAATCTTTTACAATTTAGAATAAAAAATGCATTGCAAAACTGCAATAGAATCTAGGAAATTATATCTTGATTTAAAAATTAGTTCTATTTGCTTGCAATTTCTTCATTGTGCAATGTTCCATCTTCTTAGAGTATATAATAATTCATTATACCAGTGTACAAAATGGATTACGGTCACCCTCAGTGTACTATCACAATTATTTGAGTTGCTGATGATCATCCTAGCAGAAATGTTTCTTGCCTTCAAGATACAGGATATTAATTGTGTTTGGAAGATGTTTCTATCAAATGGAAATCTAGCAAATCAGATCCCCCTGACGTATTTTCTTGAAGCTTTTAAAGGCATTCTTTAAACCATGCCTCAATAATTATGTTAATAAGGTCAACATTCTAGACTATCTAGAATGCTCTTTCCTTAGGCATTGTGAGTGGCGCTTTCATTCTGAAGCTTTTCAGTTGCAAGGCTATTTGACATAGTAATTTCTCATTTATAGCAATGGTTAAGAAACGTGAAGTTGTTGTTCAGAACTTGAAAGAATTGATCGTGAAGATTGAATTAGTCACGGCTGCACTGGAAAGTGATGATTTTAAAAACTTTACTCAAACAACAAGGTGTGAAAATTTATGAAACAATTTTAAAATTAATAGATTAGTTTGCTTGCTTTTTTATTTAATTGTTATTATTTTGGTTGCTTTTATAAGTATTATGATTTGTTTTATTTGATTTCATGCAAGTCATTGCATGTTTATAAATGAAAGCCTGTGCAATCCACTTTCAAGTGTGTTTTTCTCTCTGAGCATAAGTATTTCACTTGATATATAATAAGAGCACATCAGATAGACTCAAAACTTACTATTTTCATTTGCTCAATTACTTTTGTTCATAAAAATACTTCTGATGCCTGACGGTCGTATTTAGCATCAAACTCTAAGCAACAACTTTTTACTGCCCCGACCTGTAAATCACCAAGCATTGAAAGGCAGACTAGTACAGACTATTTAACAGCCATTTGCTATAACAAACGTCTGCAGAAGACACCATACCATGCCATGACAGGGAGGAATCCTAATTTCTCTAATATGAGGATATTTAGAGCCGAATGATTTGCATACAAGGAGAAAAGAAGTACGCTGGATGACAGAGGTACAAAAGGAATTTTTCTAGGATATGATAAGAGCTGTCAGCAGTAAGATATTTTGGTCATGAAGCTATCCTTGGTTCTGATTCACATACTTCTGCACAGCGGTAAAGGGCAAAAAACAACTTGGGCATTTCGTCTCTAGACCTGTCAGTAAGATGCTTACTGAAGTGTGATACTCAGAGATGCTTCCCGAAACATTATACTTTCATTGAAAGCTTTGATTTGAGTTGCTGGATGCAGTCAGTTCTATTAAATTATTTCGTTGTGTTTTTTACAGAGATGGAAGAGCACTGTTTGAATATCTGAAAACCAACTTTAATGTAAGTGATCAAACTATTTCTCGACTCAACAATTTTCATCGTACGTTACTTCTATTTGCATTTAAATTTTATTTTGATTTTTAACTTTGATTCACTTAATTTTCACCACACAGTTTTCACCTTCAAGAGGTGCAAATTCAATTTTTAGGTGGAGGGGGAAAATCTCCAAAACCTAGCGAATTTGCCGAAAAATGACAAATTTTACCGATAAAAGCACAGAAAATCGTGTTTTAACAGAAAACTTATCGAAATCTTGGAGGCTCTGATCCCCCCCCACACCTCTGCAATGTCCACCCCTGCAGTCTTCAGTTGCAGCGTCTGTAGGCATGAGAACCCTTTCACTGCTACTTAGCGAAATTAAGAAAAATGTTTTTAGCAGATTCTGCCGTATTAATCGTTAGTTATATTCTAGATCACACGAGAAATGGTAGAGGATTTGTACAACTATGCCAAGATTCAATACGAATGTGGCAACTATGAGGAGGCAACGGAATATCTCTATATTTACAAAGTCTTGGTGGGTTAATTAGTTTTTGTTGAACTCATAATCGAAACGTTAAGAGTAGAAACTTGTAGGAGTAGCATTGCGAAATATGATTGTTGAATTGAATGAATTGAATTACGTTCTTTATTGAATTGAATGACATGCAATTGAATTACGCTCTTTGTTTAATATGTTCGTAGAAACTAAACGAATGAAGCATAGAATAAAGGTATGATAGAAAACGGGGATGATAGTATTGGAGATAAAGATGAACATACATTATCGTGCCTAAATTCTTAACACAGATTATTTATATAAAGTCAATTAGTTTCAATGTGGAATGAATGTTTTGAGTGATGTTTTTTGAGAACAAAAACCTCATCGTTTTAAACGGTAGGAATTGCCCCCCCCCCCCCCCCCCCCAAGTCCGCTCACTGATAAAATTCAGAGGATTTAATGTAGTATATACATTGGGTCTGTCAATGCTCGCGAGTAACATGCCTGTCTCCACTTCCTTGGTTTCAACAGAAAATACATTTTAAATGTGGAGAAAGGCATCCGTCTTCTAAATACTAAACTATACTACTAAAAGGCTTGATCAGGGTATGTGTGGCCCAGCTCCTGTGACAAAAAATGACGTAAATTTTGGGAAAAGCATTAGAATTCTAGAAATTTGAAATACAAGTCTTTTTACCCATGTTAGAATTTACGTTTTTATTTTTGCGGAACTTTACAAGACTCTGAACTCCGCGGCCTTGTCCTCAACCCTAAACCTTTTTATTGTCAACTAAACAAGTCTAGGTAGCAAAGTTTTTTGCTGAAAGATTTTGGTTTAAAGTAATTCTGTATATTCCAAAACAGGATGAGAAAAACAGCTTAAGTGCAATGTGGGGTCGACTTGCGTCAGAAATCCTGCTTCAGCACTGGGACCCAGCCATGGAAGAGTTTTCCAGACTGAAAGAAGTTATCGACGGTGATGTATGTAAATATTTATCCACTGTTTGCTTTTTCTAAACAATAATTAGTAAGATTTGTCATCCCTTTTCTTTCTGATGGCTGAAATTATGATGCATCTGATGTTTTTCGTTAAATTATAGAAAGAATTATCAGATTCCTGAAGCTACAATATATAGAAATAGTGCTTTCAAATAAGACCGCACTGTGAACATTAAAGCCAATCAAATTGTTTGTTTACATTTTCACAAGCCAATTAAAATGCACGAATGAATCTGATCTTAGGAAGTAGCATTTGATCGGATCCAACGTTTACTCTTTACGCAAACGTGATCATATGTCACATTACATTCAAATCAATGTTTTAATGTTGTCGTTATTATTTAAAATCATCATGTTTTCTTTGCAGTCGTTTTCTTCTCCGCTGAAGCTGTTGCAGCAGCGCACATGGCTGATACACTGGAGCCTGTTTATCTTCTTCAACCACCCAAAAGGCCGAGATAAACTTATCGAAATGTTCCTTTACCAACCACAGTAAGATCATTTATAATGTAATGAGAGAAGGTGTATCATAAACATTTTCATCCAATTCTGATTTGTTAGAAAAATCAATATTTAGATTTTTTGAAGTTTTACCACATTTCCAAAAAGAACACCATAGAATACTACTAAATGTAAACAATCAGTTTAATGTGGCAAAATTGGTTGGGGTTTGGCCAGACAGAGATTTGAAGTTTGCTAACGGATTACTGTTATTTTAGCTCAGTTCATTATGTTGTGAACAGAGACAAAATTACAGTGATTTGACGCTTGAAGCCTGTGCTCATGTGGCCATTTCTCAGCCCATTCGTAACTGATTTGGCAAAATTTAGAGATATAATTATCTTCCAGGCTAAATGACCCAAATTGAAAAAATATATTTGTGTGACGACATTACTTAAGGATTTTTCTAAACCTATCATCTCGAGACCTATAAGAGCCATTTCACGTAAAATATTTGGAGATTTTATCTTATGAATAGTTTTAATAAATTTCACAGTCAAATTTCGCTTGAGAATCGACGGATTTCGGAATGCTGTGCTCGTAAAACACTGTGTTTTAATAACAGTGCAATCTACCTTAACATTAACATTGTTGTATATTGCGACTATTCCATTTCATCGTTGCAGAACTCTTGAATCGTATAGGTTGAGACATCATCTTTCCATTTCGCTAAATTCAATGAATATTTGGAGTGACGATCGAGCTCCCTTATATTGCCCTAACTGTATTAAGCTAAAGTGTAAATCGGAAATTTTTTAAAAACCCTCTTTGCATCCCTTTGTTGTTGACCCTCTGGGCATAGATGTTGAACGAATTTTATTAAGAATGAATCAAGCAAATTCAACACAAAGGAAGTTGTAGGAATTTTTGGGAAGTTGAAAGCCTTGCAGTCTTACAAATGCCACCTGATATTTAATGTCCTACGGAATTTTGGTAAAATCCCATGCAATAGTGTACCTAGGCTCTACGTTTCATTACATTTTGTATTTTTGTATTTGTGTTTTTTCTGCCTGGCATTTAACGGTAGTTTTCGGACACGGAAAGTTATGCTTATCGAGCAGGACCCTGTTCCTTCCTTTTGATGCGACCACACCTCGTGGTTCCTGGATTTCCAGGAGGCTGGACACCCTCACTGTAAATAAAAGTTTGTTCATGTAAGACACACGTTCCCCGACCCTTAGATCTGTAGTCCGTGACCTTAATCGCTAAGCCATCCTTGCAAATTAGGATACTTGCACACCTGGTATGTTACATATTAGAGTTTCTTATGGACTGTCTCTGCTATTTTCTCTACAGATACCTCAATGCTCTGCAAACCACTTGTCCACATATTTTACGTTATTTGACCACGGCTGTTATTACAAGCAAAAACAGACGACAGCTGTTGAAGGACCTCGTGAAAGTCATCCAGCAAGAGTCGTACACATACCGGGATCCCATCACAGAGTTCATCGAATGCTTGTATGTCAACTTCGATTTTGACGGTGCACAGAAAAAACTTCGAGAATGCGAACAGGTTTGAGCTTTGTTTATTGCTTACGTCATTGCATAGGACCTTGGTTTATAATCATCTGCTTATTTGAGTTAGTAGACAATGTGTCAATACCAACTGAGTTAGGATCTCAACTGTCAAAGGACCGGAGTTGTAAACTTCTGTGAATTTTCCTCATTTTGTAGCATGTTTATTCTAATAGCTACAAATTTTTCAAACTTATTCATACATTTCCCTGCTGGTTGCCATCGGGCTTTTTCGGGTAAAACCTGCCATTTCAGTCGGAACATTTGTTTTTTGCAATTTGCTCGTTTCTCGCAAATGCTTTTTCATAGAAGAATGTCAAAATTGAAACGATGGAAGGATGAAGGCAGCAAATTTACTTGACAATAATTGTCCATATCTTAAGAATATTTTCTTAGTTAAAGGAAAATAGGGTGACATTTTGATGCAGTACTATTGAAAGCAGTAAATATAACAGAAGTTGTTAGTCACGCGCCATATGCAAAGAAGTTATTTGCCCACGCCCTTTTGAAGGCTGGGTTAGGCCCTTCTTGAATAAAATTGATAGATCATTTTCCAAAGTCTGAAACTGATGCTGAATGGTGTCTGCTTGTGTCTATTTCATCGTGTTCTTTCGGACCCTTATTATGAGGTTTTATGCTCTGAGGAGTGTCAGACGAGAAAGCTTTTAGTATGTCGCAAAATGTTTGCTTTTTTCAAAGCCATTTTCAAATTCTGTACCGCAAAAATATCATCAAAAGAGGGAGTTTGAAAGAGAATAACTGATGGATTAAGCCAAATAGTTACATTGTAATCGCCAAGATGGTGTCACTTCACGGCTGTGTTAATTTTTGTCACCCATGCTATAATTTCAAAGCTGACGTTGTACCTACGTCATATAATTAGAACATGACGTACTTTGCCAGTGCATAACGATTGGTATCAGAATGACGTTGCCGCAGCGCCAAATTAAAAAGCAGTATATCTTAAAGGTAATGTGTCCATATAAAAGGACTGTGTATACCCAACTTGTCAAGCCACCCATCAAAATAACAGTTTGCGATTGGTTAGTATTCTTGCGATGCAAAACTGCTCACATGAAAAGCTAACCTCGCAGCAGTATAGAAAAACAAAACGACCGTAGTGGCTGGGGCGATGACATGAAAAATCACATGTTTCTAAAAACCCCCACAGAGTCGCTTGCTTTAGCTGGACACATTACCTTTAATGAACTTAGGTGACAATGTAAATTCCCATTGGCTGCATTATACAATGGGCATTGTTACATTGTCCAATTGGCAACATGGAAGTAATTATCCGTAATTTCTCAATTATAAATACGCCATAGAGCCAATTGTTAAGGTGAACGGTTGAATGGCAGTGCTTTTGATGATATGAACTCTATGTATGATGACATTCGTCAGCTGAAAACACGTTTTTCTTGAATATTTTGCAGGTTCTTGTAAATGATTTCTTCTTGATCGCATGTCGTGATGATTTCATTGAAAATGCCCGTCTCTTCATCTTTGAGACATTTTGCCGTATTCATCAGTGTATCAGTATTAGGTATGTTTTTAAACCATTCATTCACTTCCTGTCAATTTTATTGCGTAATTCTTTGATTATTTTACTGGTTCTGTTGTATCAGTTCTTTTGTTCCGGCACTTAATTATGCAATAGTCTCACCAGGCACGTAGTTTAGTTAGGCAGAATTTAATTCATGTCTAAAAAAATTTCATTAGTTGCCCAACTGCATATTTTCTACAAAGTTTCTCCTTGAAAAACTACGTGTCGATAATCTACTATATTTACTCGTTGCAAAACTAAATTTTACTGTTGGTTCTCTTCCCAATTTGTTGACATATTATTTAAAGATATTAATTATTGGCCTAAACTTGAATTGCTGTAAAATCATCGTTATAAGTGACAAGGACACAATCAAAACCATGATGCTCAAACTGTAGAGCAACTGCGACGACACTGATAAATTACCCGCAATTGAATATTTAATACCCAAGAATAATTGACTGAATTATCCAAGAGTTACACATAATTACTTTACTATTGAATATTTGTTTAAAACCAAACGGGAGTAGTTCAAATAAGTTGGTACTCTTATGTTTTAAACTGCCTAACTGCAACTTCTAAACAACTCATGTTCTTGTGCATTTCTTTGTGAGTTTTATTCTGCCGTTATCCGTAGCCGTGCAGCCGTAGTTGCAATCTGTTTGATTCAACCAGGTCTCACAACACCTTATGCCTTATGCTCACAACATCTAATCCATTTTATGTTGTCAAGCCAGTTCTTATTTTGGCGTCCTATGGCCTTTTCGTTGTACATTTCCGTAATTTATCGTCTTTGGTAAAGCCCTGGCCAAACGATGTTTTACGATGTTTTATTCGTTTGGCCACCCTGTTTTACGATGTTTTACGATGTTTTATTCGTTTGGCCACCCTGTTTTACGATGTTTTACGAATGTTTTATTCGTTTGGCCACCATGTTTGACGATGTTTTACGAATGTTTTATTCGTTTGGCCACCATGTTTGACGATGTTTTACGAATGTTTTATTCGTTTGGCCAGGCCTTAAATCTAACTATTTACCGTGCCATGTGACATAGCCGAAAAATTTCAACCACGTTTGTTTATTTTCAGAATGTAGTGTTTCTTTCCTGTTACGGTTTTGGATAGCTACTTAATGACAGTCTCGTTTGTTTTCAGTGCCATGTACAGTATTTAAATGATCTTTCGTCAGCATTTCATTCCAAATGGGTTAATTCTTTTCACTGACTCTGCATCCGTAACTGTCAGTCATCGTAGACATCACTGTAGCTCTCAAGGTTCACTTTGGAAAGGCCTATTTTAATGCTCAACATCATTTGCAGTATGCTTGCAGAGAAGCTTAACATGACACCAGAAGACGCCGAAAAATGGATTGTAAATTTGATTCGAAATGCTACGCTTGATGCTAAAATCGATTCAAAAGAGGTAGGTTATGAGTTGGAAAATATGTGTGATTGTTATGCTCTGAGATTTTGCTTTTTAAATGTCTGGCTTTGCAAGGCGTTACTAGAGAACATCAGCTGTAAACAGTGAATGTACAATGTTAACAATGTAATGTATTTATGATTTTTATTTAGATGTGACAAGTATTCTGTGGCAGAAAGAACCTGGTGACACGTTATTATCCGCTAGATGTTATTCCAGTCTCGGGTTTTAAGTTACCAAATATAAACAGAGCAGTATAAAAACACAGCATTTCTGGTGCAGAAAAATACGTAGATAACAAGGAACGGAAAAATTTTGGTAAAAAGTCAGAAACGAATGATTAGTAAACCTGAAATGTTGCTGGGTAGAAATTAAATACCTTCTGTCTACGATGCTGTTTTCTATTGGTGATGTCTAACTTTTCGAGAGGGAATATGCAAAATTGTATAATAGATATAGATTTAGCTTCGCTATGGCACCTCTGTCGAAAAAAACAACTGATTTTCGAAAGACTTTGGTGAGGAAGAAACGGAGGAAGAAGCAGTGATATAGTGGATAATAGTGCTTTTGATATTGTTTATCCATTATAATGAAAATTACTGTTTTACCGTTATGTCATAGATTACTCGATGCCGAATAGGCAGTGCTGTACCCGCTTTTTGCTTCTTGATCGCATTAAGCGTGAATCGCATTCTGTACACCAAAAGCGTTTATTCAGTGTCTTCATGTCAACTGCTGTTTTTACAAAGCCTGTTTATTTCTTGATAGGGCCATGTTGTCATGGGTACCCAAGCAGCCTCGGTCCAACAACAAGTTATAGAGAAAACAAAGTCGACAGTTCAAAAGACACAGCATCTGATGCTGAATATGGCAAAGAGGCTTGCGCCACCCGCCCACCAAGTCCAAGAACCGTTTGCGGTAATTATTGCCAATCGTCTTTTTGGTTTCGAAACATATAAAACCCATGCAATGATCCGGAAACATCATTTTACGCAAAGCCATTACATCATTTTGAAAGCACAGCTGTTGAGTCGTAGCGTAAATAAATCAAAAACCAAAATGTTTTTCCTCAGTGTTACAAACCTCTTACTAGGCAGGGGCGGACACTTAGTCAGATATTGGAGGGAGGGCAAGCCTATTGCTTTGCTAAGATGACATCACATATTAACATCGTTTTAGAACAAAGACTGTTGTCTTCCAAAATATTGGGGGGCACCTAAGATCTGCCTTTGTTATTTCTTTCTCAGATGTATACAGAGCAGGGGCGGACACTTGATCAAATATTGGGGGGCAAGCCTATTGTTTTAATAAGATGACGTCACATGCCCCATTGCTCTAGAACAAAAGACCATTGTCCTTTAAAGTATTGGGGGCGGTCGCCCCCTCCCCTCGCCCCCCAAGTGTCCGCTACTGATACAGAGCTGAGAAGAGTTTTCTAAAAAAAGAATAGTTGAAAATGAATATGTATTACTTTTGTGCATAGATGCTGTTGAAATTCAGTTTCGTGTATTTTCGTCACAGTCATTGAATTTCTTTTGTTTTCAGATGGTATGGAGTACGGACATGTGAAGAGCATCATAACTCGGTTGAATAGACGAAATGTACTATTTATTTTCGAAGTGTTCATCAAATCTCTTTAACATCTGTTGTTTCTTTGAAAAAGTCCCAACATAAATGTATATTAAGACGAGACTACTTTTAAAAGACCTTGTGTAAAGGACGATTACACTTCTTGATTTGATAGAGGGTCAAGGGCTTGTGTCTTTAGCAGCATTTTCTCTTTCGCAAAGTCTTAACGGAGTTACTCTTGCACCCCGCTTTGCAAGGGTTCCATCCTCGGCCTGAGTTTTATTGGATGAGGTTAACCTTGGTTTTATTTCCGTCTGGTTTTGAAATGGAAACCTTAAGTAGTATCCCGAAATACAAGTAAAATACTTTTAATGTGAAATGATATCATGTCTCCACCGAGATTAGGGGATCCGCTTTTCGAAAAAATGCATCTAAGTTTAATGGCTCCATCAAAAATAATAAATATGTGCAGGAACGGTTTTGAAAACTAAGAATGATAAACGGTTTTGAAAATAAGGGGAATTTCTGTGATTTGTGAACGTGGACTAGTGCATTTCAGTGGCTCCCGAAGGCAGCAACTCTGATTTTCATACTTAACGATCTTGCAACTATTATTTTACTCCCTTTTTTGGTGTTATTTATTATCAAGTTAGTTAAAATCAAGTCGTAACATCGTCAATATTTCCGTCTAATGTTTCGATACTTGCTTGCACTTTGATTGTGACCATCAGCACAATTCACTGCCAACCAACTTACAATCTTTTGAAGTACGTTGCATCGGTTTTGGCTGTTTAAGATACTTATTTTGGTGGAAATACAATCTTTGTCATATAATCTCATTTCATATTCCTTTTGAAACTCGACCTTAGGAAAAATATTTAATCTCATCTTTAGGAATGAGAGCTGTCCTGTATGACAATCGTAAGTTTTCTTTATCAACAAACTTACATAGGTATACAATGGGGGGGGGGCTTATTCGAAGATGGGGGCTTATTTAGCAACAGCCAAAAATATTGCCAGGTGTCGGGGAATATTTCCCTTCTCTTTGCTGAATCTTTTGTTGAAAGGACTTAAGAACATTTTAGAAAAGAGACGACAATTTCATTTGTCGACCAAAACTGAACGTGCCCTCTTGCCATGTGACTACATATATTTCGAATCACATGGCATACAATTATGTCAATGCCACGACTCTGAGTAACATTCCGTGACACAAGGGTAAATTTTCTTCCAAGATAAAATGTACAAGAAGGAGGAAACGCAAGATATGCTGTCCACCGGATTCGGTGAATGTTGCAATGCGTAATACGAAGGTAATAGCCAGGAACAAAGCAACACGACGATGAGAGTCTGATGGAGTGAAATAGAATTTAATTTAATCCTATTTATTTCAAAATTTCTGACTATTACCTAAATTTTCTTCCTCTATTCGAGGCTGGTCAGAATGCTTAAAAATGCAAATGTATTGGGAAAGACTTATATCTGTCGGGGCAATACCTCAGCCCATAAGAGCTTATTCGTGGATGGGGGCCTATTTTGCAAGAATTACTCAAAAATTAGAAAAACAGAAAAACATATGGATTTTTTTCGGGGGCCAGTGAGTTTTCACAATAACATGGTCGTTGTTTTGCCCCTACTGTGTTATTTTTAGATTAGGAAAATATTAATCTTCGTGGGATCGACTTGAGGCGCTTAAGTCAAACCCAGGACCCTTGAACTGCGAATCGTATTTTGAAGAGAGACTAAAATGCGATGATTGTGGATTTGCCTAATTTAAGGTCGCCACCATGGTTGGCGTCAAAATTTTAGGTTATGTAGATCCAGGTATGACCAGAAACAGCATCTAACATAAATTTTAACAGGAGAAAATCCAAGGCAATATTCTTGAAATTTTTTATAACTAGGTTCCAAAGTTTTTTGCTATTTTAATTTTGATATGAAAAATGAAGGGTCTTGCAAAGCTTTAGAATAACCTTACTTATGTAAAACCATTTAAAAGTGGGTTTTACCAACGTGAGTTCGTTCTAGGCAGAAATGCTCAAAAATACGGCAGCGGCGGATAAAATCAAATATCTTCTTTTTAAGGCAATGATTCGACTAAGGACTGAAAACAACAAGTTTGACAAATAACGGCACGGCTTTAACAGGCACGACAAAGCTTCTAGCAGTACGGCAAAAGTTTCGACAAGACTAAACCTAACTTATGAAACAACCCTTTGTATACCCTTGGCAGAACCTTGAGGTAATAATTACGTAATGCAAAAAAACATTTACAGACGCTGATGCAATCACAGCACAATGATACAATTGTCACGTGATACTGTCTGTAAGGGAACCCTGTGTCATAACACTTAGCATAGCTGCGAATAATCATCTTTCTTGCATTTGGATGAAAGTAAAATAAGATGGAGAAGAGAAATAAATAAAAACAAATGCTGCCACACACACTAAAAAGCATGAATATGAACTACCTACATGAACTGAAGATATCTGAGAAGGGGAGGAAGGTGTAAAACCACTTAAAAAGGGGGTTTTACAAACGTGAGTTCGTATGTCGTTCGCAGAAACGTACACGATAAATACGGCAAAAACTGTTATCCAATTCGCTAATTTCTTACACTTCTTCTAATTCATCAGTTCACGGCAAACGACTAAAAATATCTTAAATGGCTAACGGCGAAAATGTAACGGCAAACACAATTCTTCAAGCTAGCGACAAGGTACACTGAATTCGACAAAGCTTACGGCAAGACTGAACCTAACTATAAAGCCACCCCTTATATACCCTAAGAAAAATACAATTTACAGAAGCTGATGCAATGGCAGCGCAATGATGCAATTGTCATGTGATGTCCTGCAATGAATGGGAACCCTGTGTTCTAACAAAGGGTTGAGACCATGCCGTGTATGTCAAACGCCCAGTTGAAATAAATGGTGGTTGTGTTTGGAAATCATGTCTTAATTTTCTTTTACTCTTTAAACTCTGTCAAAGCAGTGAAATATTTCGCTATAAAGCGTTCAAATTAATGCATTCAAAGGTAACTGAGAAGAATACACGTTCTTTTTGTAAGAAACCGGTTTTTAAGAAACCTAGCAGTAGAGCCCCAAAAAATTAAGAAACTTTTAGAACTAAATCAATATTTTTAAGAAACTCCGAAAAAAATAAGATGTCATTCTGAGCCGGAAAATAATGGGTCAACAATCCATTTTGCTTGACTTAAATTTGCCAACACATGGTTTAATTCAAAACTAAAGAATGCCGTGTCCTGTTTGAAGAGCAAAGCGAAGACTGTATAAATGAAGTAGACATGATTTTGCTCAATAATTGACGTTTATTCTTGGGCCTAATGGCATTAAATTTTAAGTATTATTATCACTTTATAGGCTGTTCCCGTATTACAACAATTTAAGCACACTGTACCGGGTGTCTCGATAAAAAGTAACCCTGTCTCCATAAGAATAATGAACAAGAGATATGATATCAAATCTTACTTGTGTGTTATAAACTTTGATACAATTAATATGCGAGTGAAAGCGCAAAATTTGATGCTAACTGCTTATCTAAAACTAAGAAACTTTTGAGAAACTTTTAGTACTAGAAACTGGTGAAAAATTAAGAAACTTTAAAATTACGAAAAATTAAGGACCCAAGCTAGGTTTCTTATAAAAAAACGTGTAAAATACAAAACTAAATCGAATTCCGATTTTTTAAAGTGTAAGCCAGAAGCATTTGAGAGGTAAAAGTATTCTGTGGGCCGTATGAAATCTTGTCGAGGGCCGGAGTTGGCCTGGAGTTGGCTCAAGCCCTGGAGCCCCCCCCAGGTCTGCGCCTATGGTTGAGCCAAGTGACGTTACGTTGATGAGTTGATGGCTGTTTTGCTGTGGAGGAATTACGATGTAACATTTGCATTATGGGATTGTTAAAAGGCCTGGGAACGAGTTAGATCAGAAAACTTTTGGAACGGGAAGGGTTGTTTACAAGAATTGTTGAACAGCTGTTGAAAATTAGAAGTTTTAAAGACCCTGTTACGTCTACGAACCAGTAGATATGATGAAAGAGGACGAGCCAATCGTTCTTGATCGGCTGCGAGAGCCAGAAGCAGCTCCAAGACCATGCTGCTGCTGTTTGGATGTTCGAATCGGGACCATTCTCATTGGCCTATTCAATTTGGTAAGTCATGGCAACACAAAAAGTTCTTCGATAATAATGTTGAAATTTTGATAAAGATGGAATACGATATTTTTATATTGTCGTTAAAATAGATTTTTAATTCTTTTTAACAAAATTTTGCTCGATGGAATAGTCAGTGAGCGAGGAAAATCATCGAAAAACACTGTTTTGAATTCGATGTGGCAACTCGAAACTCCGACATCGATGGTTGTGATGTAACTTGGCATCTTCCGCTAGTCTTTTCTGGAAAGGTCATAGATTGAATTAATGCTAATAATTTTATTCAAGGGCTTAAATTACTGGATCCCTAAATAGACATTGATCTCAATTAATGTGGTTGATCTATTTCACTTTGTATAGAAATGGCATCTGGTTATTTTTCGTGACGGTCGAGTTCTGAAATTAAATTTCCCGTTATGGGGTGCTGCGCGGTTCCTTGAACTTTTTTTATTGCCATGCAGTACTTCTTTCAGTAGATGATTCGGTAGTTCCTGAATTTTTCAATGAAATGTAAAATTGAAGAAACAAAATATAAAGTTTAAAGTTTAAAATGGCAATTAAATAAAGGCCAAGATAATATTCAAATTCCGTGTAATATATACTAAATTTCTATGGTATTTATGCTTAGCAAAATTTACTTTTCTTAGTAGAAATTCCTGTTCTCAGAAATATTTTTCAGTATCTTTGTAGTTCATTTAATGATGTATTGCTGTATTGCTTTAAAAAGGGTTGTTTTGACTTATGTTCCTTAAAATGTTATTTTTTTGTTTCAAAAACAACTTACAAAGTCAACATTTAAACACAGAATTATTCTCAATTTTCTTATAACATTCCAGACTTATGTTAAAAACCTTAGCTTTACAAGTGTATTCTAAGGTCACTTAAACTTGACAGAGTTGCTTGTCCACCAACTGTGAAATCCATTTAATGAAAAGTTAACAATGTAACCCTGTTTTGACTGTTGAATTTCTTTCTGCATACAGTAATCTTTTTTAGTAAAGAATAAACAATGCTGACCTTTGTAAATCTCCAAATTGAAGCCTTGTTGAATTGACTCTGTATTGCTTCTTTTTTATAATCAACAGGTATTCCATTCAGCCAGCTTCATCATTGCCTCCCAAGTCATGGCTCATCCTAAGGTGTACAGAGATGAATATGCGGAGTTTGGTTCTCACAGAATGGAAGGTAATGAATCTTCAGAATTTTATCTGCTCTATTTCACTGCAATTTTCCAGGACACTTAGCACATCATTTTGTTTTATCCTTATTTGATACCCTTATTTGAATATAAATAGTGAAATTTAAGTTAAATTGTACTAGGAAAAAATATTGAGAATGTTAACAATTATTTAAGCATAGCTCATTATAAATAGTTTTACTTAAATTCTTAGTTATATTCTATAATATTGTATATATATATATAGCATCAGGGACACCACAGAGGGGGGTGGGGGTAGGGGGGTCAACCGCCCCTGTTGCAGTTTTATAGGAGGGGCAAGGGGGGCTAAAGTCCCCTTTTCATTGAAGTACTCTTGATGCCGGCCTTTTTATGATATCAAAGATATTCATATGATATCCTGCCCTATTTATGACGATGTTTCTCAAAACTTGTAAAGAAATATCTTATGCCAAAATTATCTGATTTTTAAGATACCAACAGAAGATCGAAACAAAATGATGGTTAAAAAAGAATTCTTGGTAGCTGGGTATTAATTTTCAAATACCCTTTTACTCAAGACTGCCCCCCTTGCCCCTTGGTTGCTCCGGCGTCCCTGTATAGCATGCAAAGTAACCTTATTTGAGCCTGCTTTATTGTGAAGGACTTGTTATCATTATAATATTTCAGATGGTGACAGAAAGGCCTATCAACATTTTCTTGATTAAAATTGTAATTTCCAAGTGCCCGTTAATTGCTCTTGGGGAAGATTTACTCTGTACACCAGAGTGCAAAGTATTTTTTGTGCACAGGGAATTATTTTCTGCCGCTTATGCTTGCACGGTAAAAAATCATATTGCAAAATAGCAGGTTAAAAGCTGCTGGATAACACTCTTAAGTTATCCAAGTTAAATTGCATATAAAAGTCTGTGCTGCAACTGTGTTGATTAATTTAAATTTGCGATAATGCACTGATGGGATGTGAAGAAAAAATTATTGCATTTCCCATGCATACCCAAGCCTTGCAGTCTGGTATATACATAGGCTGCATCTACTAATTTATTTACTTATTGTAACAAGGGTTAAATTTTCATGAAATCTTTTATCAGCTACTTTCCTGCCAAACGCTTATAGCAAGATAATGATTAAAATATTTGATGCAATAAGTATATATTAATTTTGAAGTATTGATTTGAGCTTTAAAGATGTTTTTTACATTTTTAGGAGATAATTTTGTTGGGATGAGCCTTGCCTTCTTCTCTTTCCTCATCACAGTCTTGTTGATTTATGGTGCTTTGATGGTAAGTCTGTTTCATTGATGCAATATATATGTTATTTTATTCAAGTATAACTTGATATTATGCATGCTGTTTGATGATAGGAGATTCAGAATGCAGTTTTGAAATCTTCTTAGGAAAAGTGTCTGAATTTTGAGTGCTTTTTTCATTTTTATTGCTAGAAGCAAACAAGATTAAATAGTATAAATACCGTCTTATATATAAAATATATAATATTTTTTCAAATACTGATGTTTTCTTACAAAAGTCCTAGAAAATAATGAGACTCTGAGGATTGTATATGGAGCTTAGCTCGTTGGAAATACAGTTTGCTCTGCATAAATTCAGCTGCGTTTCTCAGAATATGCCAATGAAATATAACAACCTTTCTCTTATCAGCGTAAACCTGGCCTCATCTTGCCATTCTTTGCCATTCAAGTGTTTGATGTTGTTTTGTTCATACTTGGGGCAGCTGGTGCCATTACATACGGACCTGCTCTGAAAATAAAACTTGAGAATTGTGTATGTATCTTGCTATTATATTTACCTAGATGTTGGAAAGGTTATCTTAATCGTAGGCATTACATTTCTTAATTCATCATTAATTGTTTTCTGGTTGCACATCATTTCTTGTTGATGAACTTTAAGACAAATAAGGTTGTATTACTTCAGTGTGTATTACTGCTAATTTCAGAAATTAGTAAACTCTGGTATAGCTGTCAAATATTGTCAGATAAAAAAACTTTTCTATTGGGACAATATTTTCTATACCCAAAGAGCTTTTACCTCATCTATAGGGCTTAGGTTACATCAATGGTTAGGCCCACTGAGAAGTAAGGCAAAGATGCGTTAAAACCTTGCTATTATGTTTAATGAGTTGTATTTTAAGATATGTTGAAAATTTGTTTTTTCAAAGCTATTTCAAATTTTGTATTACCAAAAGAGTATTTAGTATCGTATTTTGGCATATTTTTTTCTCTTTAGCCCTCCTTCTTGTACAAAAATGAAGTCTCCCGCATGTCAGTTCACTCCTTTATGTTTGCCTTGGTTTTCACTTGCCTTTTGGTGATGCTTTTCAAGGTAGGTAATGAGCACCAATCAATTTGGTACTAATTTTCTTTTAATATTATTATTCTGGCAATTTAGTCTCCCATTATAACTTTTTTCATTGTAAATTTTTCATAGACATGTTGACAACCGTTGCTTCTGTTTTGGACAGGAGAAAGCATCTTTAAAAAAAGTATTTTGCTTGGTTTTAGAAAGGTTGAATTCTTTCACTAAACTAAACGAACATGTTATGCTGGCTCTTATCCCCCCCCTTCCTTTCATGAAAATCTTTTTTCCTATTTTCAATATATTTGGACCATCTTTATTTTTTGTGTGTCCTCCTCTCTATTCTAACTTCAAGTTTATATTTAAAACTAAGCACAATCCACTGTTTGTCCCCCTCAAACCCAGAGACTGCTGGAAAGGGAATGGGTGCAGGGGTCTATGGGGGCTTTAGCCCCCACCCAATAATTTCCAAAATGTACTTAAAACCATACAACAACCGCCTCGCTCTTGATTTTTAGCATGTTTAGCCCCGTCAAACGTTTTAGCCCCCCATTTTTGAATTTGCTCTGCGATCCTTGCTCAAACCACCTTTTAGCAATATTTCTTCAGCACTCAAGGAACCACGTGGTCTTGCATTATTATTATGTAATCTACATATAATCACTGCAATGCAACAATCGTTGAACCAGCGTATTAATGCACAATAAATTTCAATGCTGCAATAAATCACCTTTCGCTGCAATAAATTACAGAGTCAAATAAGGGTAACGAATGGAAATTTGGTTTTATTACTTCGGATGTGGGAATTGAAATTTTAGGCGGATTTGACTGGGAAATTAATTCTGGGACTTGTATTGAATGTTTGGAGTTTGCACCTTGCTGCCAAGAGGTTTGAACACTGCATACTGGTAAAAGGAACTTTCCTTTCGAATAACTCGGATAAAGAACCTCCATCAAGACCCTCACAGTGAGAGAGAATAATGTAATATTATTACCTGCTTTAAAAAGAGTATCTTTGCATGCTTATAGAATAATCAGCTTCATTCACTTAATCACCGTTCTATTTAAAATTTCAGGTGTATTTGATGTCATGTGTCTGGGAGTGTTACAATTTTGTCAAGCGCCAAATTGAGCGTCGTTCTCAAATAGATTTTTATCCAAGTATGCTTGATATGGTGAGTTATTTTATCAGAGTTGTCTTTCACGAGCAGGTACTTTTCCTTGTAAATCATATGAATTCTGAATTTTCGCCCATGCTTATATTAGCAATCCCTATGATTGACATTTACAGATCATCGACAGATGTTATCGACTCGTGTGCGTTTGTTGTCATTGTTTCCGAGAATGCATGTAGTCCTCTATTTGCCGTGTATTACGAAGAATGTATCTTTTCACGGACGTATGTATGCTGGCCGGTTCAAAGATTTTGTTGCTTTGCGCGTCACAGTTTGCACAATGCATGCCAAAAGCCCTGCAACTCTAATATCTCTTTTCAAACGTACTTTTTTCGTGCGGCTTGTCTGATATTTCCCTCAAATATCAACATTGTTATGGGGTGAAGAAGTGCGAAAGTAATTTTATTTGGGGGACGAAAAACAAATAAATTAATCGCGAATTGGTCGGTTTTACCAAGTAATTTGGACAAGTATTGTAAGAACAATTCCAGATTCAATACCTTATGAAAATCCCACAACAACAAGTGCGAACTAGTAGATTTGTTCTTTCTCTGGAGGTTTTTTGTGAGGGCCTTAGATGGAGCGGAAGAAATGCTACTAATGCACCAATTCCCGTAAATGGTTCTCTCATTAGTAATCCACCACCGCATATAAAAGGACCATCTTACGCGTAGGCAATCAGGGCTGGAAAATGTGCGCGACCACGCCACCGCCGGTCGGAGGCACACTTTTAATTTCTGGCATTACAACGGAGGCACTTTTTGAAATTATGTCAAAGTGTTTTTTACAATTTTATATTTAATTTTTTGATTAAAATAACGGAACATTCTACGGTTTCACTTGAGAATTTGTCACTAATATAAGCATGCGTCTTAAAATCTTGATAACGATACTGAATGTCCACATATCTGTTTATAAACCTTATTCAATCTTGTGACAAGGTAAGTGCACCCGAAACAGATAACTGATAAAACAGGTAACTGTCGTACTTTCGAATTTTCCGCATTTTTGCACGTCTTGAAGTTAAGTGCCGGTCATATGCTCTCGACTTTTTACATTACATTGCTTGACATTTTGCTGCCAAGCAGAGCAAATTAAATTGAAGCGACCATTTGGAGAACGAATGACCTCAATCGGTAAATTATAGCAGCAAGGCCGCTTCGCACTGAAGGCGCTTCTACGTCATAGGCCAAGACCAAATCAAAACAATGTAGGTCGATCTGCGAAGTCCAATGGCGGCCTTTACTATCCAGTCCTCCAAGTTTATCTGTAGCTCAAAAAATGCCTATTGTCAATCTATGAAATTCAGTTTTTCATTCTAAAAGTATTTTTCTCTACTCTAAAGAAGTTTTACGAAAAAATAATGGAAAGCAGCTTTTATCCACCATGAATTCCTCGCTGCTTTGAACTAGTTATCGAACAATAGAATTCCATAATGGCGTCACGAACTCGGCGAACTCGATGTTGCTAAGGACCGTTGATGGCTCTGCGCCTCCTGCATCATGCTACTGCGCGTACGAATTCAAATCTTATGTAAGGATTTTTTCCCGTAGCCTGAACTGCCAAACTACGAAGAGGCAATGAAGATGCCAAAAGAGATGCCACCTCCATACTCAACCAATCACAATTGAGTATGTGCTGCATTACGTAACAACTTAAGATGCTTAAACAAGTAGCAAAATATCATAGCAACTGGTAAATAACTACTTAAGATGTATTTGATAAACTCTGTATGTCATTATTATTATCACTATTATTAATTTGTTGGGTTAGTTTATTTGGAGACTAGATATCAAATCGATATTTGGTGGGAAATTGGCGATGGGACTGTAAGCTTTGGTTTGGAAATGATTTGCCGATATTGTGGAAGGAAGTGGATTCTGTTTTTTTAACAAATACTTTAATTTGTGTTTGTGTGTCAAGATTTCTGCTTTTAGGGACGCAGTTCGCTGGAAATTTTCCAGATAAGATATAAAGATTTTGCCCATCTACCCGCGTTTTTACCCATCTACCCGCGTTTTTACGCGGTCAACTTGCCTTTCCAACCGTTTTAGCAATCCGCATGCATCAATCAAGCGCCAGTTGACGAGACGCAGCGCGGGACATCTGAAATTCAGATTCGTCTTAATATTTGAAGAGGTGGTGGTGCAGTTTGACAGTGATCCTCTATTTGGGCACTGACAATACCCCTTCCCCCTGCGAAGAATACCTCGCAGATAGGGTTCAGGATATCATATAGCCAAGTTGAGTTGAAATTGATATGGGGTTATTCATTTTTATAAAATGGAAGGGGATTGGGATTTTAAAGATTAAAGTGCAATTGATGGTGTAGTATAACGTTTTCTAATGCTGGGGTCTGAAAGAAAGCATAGTTTGTTTTTGAAGAAATAGCACAGTGGTTGGCAGGGCAATAGCTTTTCTAGTTGATGCGAAATGGCCCTGGGGTTTAATGCCTCGTATGTACATAGAATGCCCGTCAAACTGTTGGAATACCAATTTTTCCTACACAACGTCTCCCCTCTTCCCTATACAATGTTGGACACCGACTAGAAAAAGACAGCAAATGTAGTTTGGAGCGAAATTATGTAACCAATGTTTAGCGACATGCTCATCTTTTTTCCTTAAGGGGGAGGAGGTCTGGGGGAGGATCTGTCTACTTGAAATAAGGAAATGGACTGAAAAATAATCATTTATTACGATTGCAATCTCTGTGCTCCAACTGCTTTTGGCGGCAATTGTAGAAGAAATCTCTTTTTGATGTGAGGTTTTTTAGGGAAGTTCATAAAGACAAAAAATTAGGGTTTTATGCGACTTTGTTTTTCGATTTCATCGGACGGTTTTGATGTTAGGTTCAGGTTTTCCGAAAATGATGAACTCAAAAAAGAAATTTCTTTGATCTTCTTTTTGAAGCATTTTTAAGGACTGGCTGGAATGATTTTATTTACGTTACAAGAAGGTAAATCCTTGAATTGCAAGTTATTTGAAGTCAGTTGCTGCTGTATATTTGCTGATAAACAATCTTTACGAATCAAAGAAGATTTCAGGCTGTATCCAGAGTACGTTAACATCACAGTTCAATGTGCACATCTCAAAATAATATGCAAGTCAACTTTTGTCACTGCCAGTGTTCGCCATTTGTGTTCAGTCTCATCGCACACATGCAGTCTGTCTTGCTTCTCCAAGTGGAAAACGCCTCTTATTTGTGTGATTATTTTCCTCTGAAAAGCGAGATGTGACAAAGAAATCGCTGTCCTTATCGTAGGGAACCAGTAAAAATTGTCAAGGATTTACTTTGTAGCAGAATTTTGTGATATTGTCTTTTCAAGGCATCCAGAACAAAGTTTAGAATGACAGAGTCAACAAAGGCCAGCAGGCTACTTCACGTGGAAGAGAGAACCATCTTAGCCACGTAGTGTTGTGTGGAGGAGGCATTTACAGTCACCGTATAACAATCACATGGTGTATGCATCATGCGAACTAAATTTTGGATTCTTAAAGACTGATGGTCTGCTATCATCAAACATGAATAACCCAATGTTTGTCCAGTTCTTTGGCGCTGAATTCAGAAATTAGGATAATTTGCATTCTTCATGTAGTGTTTGCACACCTCTGATAATATTGGCAAAGTTTGCAACAGAAAAAGATAGAAATGGCCGATCCAATATTTAAACAGAAACAAAGGAAGAAAGTATGATAAATTCTGCGGAGTTAGAACTACAGCGCTAACTGGGTTTTAATCAAATAGGTAATTTAACTAGCTTTATCGAGCTTGAAAAAGCTTAGGCGTGCTCTTATGGTATGGCCTAAGTCGGTGTGTTGGAATCAGAACTGACTCAAAGCCATACGGTATGCAAGAAAGGAGGATGAAGTGTTGTGTTTGTATTCCCTTTAACCAGGCAGTCAATTTACCGCAAAGCTCGTTGTGATCTGAGCTGGTGATATCTGAATACTGAATAAGGGGGCAAAACGTATTTTATATGGGTATTATTAGTAATGGACACAAAGGAAAGGGATATTAGTAAAAACTGACATCCTTGGTGGTTTAGACGCGACGCACAATTATTGCAGCATGGTTTCATTTCACTTGAGAAATTCTCAGCTTTGGGTGGTGCAGTTTTGCAGAAGCAATTCACTGTAATATTTTAAGCTTTCTACTGTTAAAACCTCCATGAACGGGCTCTTTCAAAAAGCAGACAGATAATTTTGTTCATTTTTGCAGATAAAATCTTTTATATGTAGCTTTTACAACATACCGTTACCGTTACGCTTCATTGACGCATTCCAAAAAAATCATCCTTAAAGCCTGATTCACACGAGGCGAATTTTTCGCGCGAAGCGAATTTTTCGCCACGAATTTTTTAGCTGCGAATTTTTCTCTCGAATTCGAAGTTCAATTTACACTGGCAGAAATTTTTATGCGAATTCGCTGTGAGTATTGAATATAGCGACTGTCCGAAGACTGCTCTTATCAGAAAGCTTTAAATTTTAAATTTATCAAAAAGCGAGCAAAACAGCAAAAAGCGATACTGGATTAGAAAGATTTATTCAGGACGTCTTCAGAAGGGGAAAAATTCCATCTTTCGGCAAGAGAGATTTACATTTACATTTATAAGACCAGGATAACTTCTTCAAATACTTTCAAAGGTCGCCATCGAAGCTTGATGAAACTTTCAAGCCAGTTTTCGTCAATTTGAACTTTAAATGTTTGAATAATGATCTGATATGAATCCACATACATGGATTGTGTACAAGGAACAGGAAATGAATAATTACCAACCTATTTTATTGACGTTTTAAAGGCGAGAGTGTTTGAGAAAAAGAATGCGGAAAGACGTAGGCCATCTGAAACCAAAACAGAAGTCAGGTGTTTTCCAATGCTGTTCTGATTGGTTTATTTTACAAGGCGAAAAATTTCGCAGCGAAAAAGTAGGAATGAATTCGCTTCGAATTTTCTAATCTCTACTTCTGCGCATATTTTCGCGCATTCGCGGCAAAAAATTCGCTTCGCACGAAAAAATTTGTCTCGTGTAAATTAGGCTTAACGATTCACAAACATTGGGGTGATGGCGAATCGCGACATCAGTTGTGCGCAAAAGAGCTAAATCCAGTGACATCCTAGCTCATATTTATTTATATATATATATATCCATTTGGTATTGGTAGATCTCATTCGTACCAGGCGTTATTTCTTCATAGCAGCCTTTTGCTCAGCTTTGAACATGGCTTCAAGATGTCGGAACATGAGGGATAATGCTCACCGTTTACTTGAAAATACCCTTATCTCCTAGCAGGGACCGCGCACCAGTTTAGATGTGGGAGGGCTGAAAAGGGCGTGAGAGAAATGTTTCGAGGCCACGCCCACTAGAACGCCGAAAACGCCCCCTTTTAAAAATACTGGATTATTTCTACTGGGGTTTTATAAACAATCTGGTTCAGAGAAGATATCAATAGCTATAAAGACAGATAAAATTAGCTTGGGGATAATAAAACATCAAAACAAACAACTAGAAAACGAACAAAGAGTTCCCAGTCAAGAAAATTTGCTAATACTTAGGAATAAACCATTCAATGTTGCGTTAGAGCATAGTTAGAGTAAACTTTTCAAAAAGTTTTCTAACCTATTATTGCAAAAAAGTGAAGGGGCTATAGCCCCTGCTAGCCCAATGGCTGCGCGGTGCCTGTCTCCTAGCACATTCCCACCTGGCTCTTAAATTTTATTCATTAGTTGTCCCATGAACCCCTAACAGTAAGTGCCTCTTTGAACTAAATTGTTTTGAAAATTAATTGTATCTGTTAAACAGTTAATAACTGTTCGTTTCTATGGTTTTCCTTGTGTTGTTTTTTTTACCCTGAAATTATTGTGTTGTTGCTGAAATTAAAACTAAACATGGTTGACTTAAGAGCGAACTACAAAGGAAAGTACTCTGATTCTCTTTGCAGAAGATATGGGGCCCATGAGGAATATACTGAACACTTATAGGATTGCCCAAGTTTTTATCAAAAACCCAATATGGAAAAGACCTGTTTAGTTACAAATAATTCAAAAATCCTAAAAAATATCAACAACACCCTTCAAAAATTTCTTAACAATGGATGAAATAAAAATAAAAAGACTGACTAAAATTATAGCACCAGCTTGTGATACCCAGTAGCTGGGTAACTGCTCCGAAATGGAGACTTGGCTTCAATTATTATTATTATTATTATTACCCTATTTGCTGCATAGTGGATACCAAGAGCCGCGGAGCATATTACAGATTGAGGGGCTAAAACATTTTTGGGGGGCTAAAACATTTTTGGGGGGCTAAAACTTTTGAGGGGGGCTAAACATGCTAAAAACCGAGAGCAGAGCGACTTTTGTAGGTTTTAAGTACATTTTGGAAATTATTATTTGATACTCCCCTTTTTACGTTCTCGTTTTCCTCTCAGCATCATCCCCTCCCCTCCCAAATTTTACCCCCACTCCCAACCCCCAATCCGTAACTTGCTATGTGGTCCCTAACACTTCGCCGGACACACACGACTTCTTTCTCGAGGTTACTTACCAAGGAAAGAGAAACTTCATATTTGGATTTTTCATGTAGTTCATCAGTACACGAAGTAACACTAGACTGCTTTGGTACAGAGGTTCAAAAGTTGAACCATAGCCGCCAGTGGCGTAACCGAAAACTTATTCTTAGAATTGTTTTTTTAGAAGAGCTCAAAGTGACTATATTACTCCCTCTTTCTCTCCATTCATTGATTTTCCATAAAGTTAAGCCCACTGAAAGGAATAATAAAATTACTTTTCGAGCTCTAAATTTGGGAAAAGGGGTTTTTCTTGCCCATTCCCTCCCCAATATCAATAACTTTTGGGGGTTTTGCGTGACTAAC